CACCACAGTTAGACCGTAGTATTTCATCACTTGTTTGGTCTATGTATGTCACGAAACACATGTTACTGCCGATTTAGATAACACCGATTTACTTGGTAAAGTAAAAAAGAGGGGGAAATAAATAAATTTAAATAATAGTCCGTGAAATTATGGCAAATAAGATAATGTTAATTTTGCACACAACTATACATAATATAACATTATAAGGGAAATACGGGACGATAACACCTATGGCTTTTGAACACGATTTAACCTTCAGTGAACCAAGACGTGCCACCGATACAGAAAGTATAACTACTTCTTACTATAGTCTATAACAAGAATTATAATGTTGTGACGAAACATAATGTAAAAAGGAACAAAATACATACATAACTGCTGAGAACTAATTTTTTTTATTAGACAGTTTTATTGCGCTTGGTCATTCAATGACTCCAAATGATTTCTCCGTAACGTTATTATTATTTATTATGTAATTTTAAGCAAACAATAATGATTTAACACTCATTTATACAAGTGGTTTATTGTCACACTACATATTATACATCTTAAGATATATGTTCAATATCTAAGTATTATAACAATTTTCTTTTGCAAAACCCCCCACCTCTTTAAATTATTGTAACCACAAGCAAAGCTGTATTATAATAATATATATGTAGTACTAATATAATAGATTTATGGCTAAGCGGAATTAAAACTCGTCATTTAAATTTTATCGATAAATTATTTTATGTGAGTATTTAATTAGTAAATGAATTAAGTATTATTAACAGTCGTCATTTTAAATGTTTTTTTGTTTTTGATGACATAATATCAGTGTTATTTAATTTTTATTTCATAATATCAGATATTGAATTTGCGCATTATTATGTGATGTGATTAACGTTTAACTAGTGCGATACTCTGTATATTACAATATAGGGTATTATATCTTAAGTAATTAATCTGAATATAATAATAGTAATTTAATAAATTAATATCAATCAAAATGTTTAATACATTGATATATATATATATAGCACGAGGAATAATTATTTTCGATTTTATAATACCCAATTGCTTAAAAAAGTAGGAATGTAAAATATTGTAGCCAAATCGGACATCCCGTATAAAGACCATTTAAAATGTATTTTACCCTGTTTCCAAATGCCGCTAATGACGAACAATGGTAAAGAAAAACAATGGTCAAGAAAAAATAAAACAAAATGTATGTCTGTATAATTTAAATACACCATAGCTCTAGTTGGAGTAGTAGATTATATTAAAATAAGCAATAAGATAAGTATTATATATACCTAGTGCTATGATAAAAGGGTTCAGCGAAAATTTCTTCGTTTGCCATTTCTATTCTTCGTACCCCTTACCCGGGGGTGGGGGGGGCTCCCTGACTATTTTCCAGCTCAATGGTTACAGAGCGGTCATAAGAACTATAAGGAGGCTTTTACCTTTTTTGCGTTTATGCCTTATGGAAACTATTACTTGTGATTATTCGTGGTAAATACTATAAAGTATGGTAATATTTATAATTATTATAAATGGTTTTACATGAATATAGTAAGTACCTGAAATTGTTTTTTAAAAATTCGATTAACTTTTATTCCAACACCGACTTTTTCATTGATCCCATTGAATGCGGGTGCAGTGGTTAACTCCCTTTCATATGCGCTGTGCATTTATATTGCAACACTTATAATAGCGTTAGAGCGGCTATCCATAGTCGACCAGGCAGTCATGTAGACTGGATTTTTATTTTTCATTGGCTGCGTAACCAAGGAGGGTGAAAAAAGAAATGGATTTCGTGAAAGAAGCCAAAAAGGCGGTATCGTGTGTGCGGTTAAGAAATAAAGAAAAAACATCAGAGAGAACCCCGTTTTAACAATATTATTTTTGTACTTCTTTTTTCTACTTCTGTTATTATTATTATATTTATAAATATATTTTTATATATTTATTTTTTGTAAAATGTCGGTACCTGTACTAAGGGAATGCCGCGATAGTTATCTGGTTCTCTATCCCACACCGTCGTCATTCTTTACACAACACAAACCCAATTTCAAAAATTTCCAACCGGCAGGTTTAACATGGCAAATAATAATTTTAAAGGGTCAATAATAAATGGACCGCTCGCAGAGTCTGTAAATGATTTTTTCCCTACCACTTCTTCAATGATGTGTATACATTTGTGCGTTATGTTTGACAACATTCACAAATCACATCACCAGGATTCCCCATTACACGTTGTAGATATATATATATATATATATATATATATGTGTTTGTGTGCACGCGGCTTTTCTTGCTCACACAGGTCGTCTTCCTTTTTTATTATTACATTTATCGTTATTACTATGATTTATTATTTTGGAGTCATAATATTGTCTCCGGGTTATATTCGTTTTTATTGTTATTTTTGCAAAATATATAAAAGCGAATTGCGGCTCGACAAAATAGCTCAACAGGTTATACTACATGCTATATTGAAGACATTACTTACCTATTCTGGCCATTGTAGTTTCCCGACGGCCTATATCGTTAACCAAATGATACAACAATAACCTTTTATAGGTATTTAATATTTATACCATATTGTAGAAGAAAAATCATACTACTTAGTATTCAAAAATTAATAGAAATCTAGCGAAAAACAATAATTGTAACACGGTTAGGAAATGCTAACATAGCAAATCAACGCAATTTTCTTATTGAAATAAGGCTGCCGCGCCGTAATAGGTTAATGTCATGTTTAATCTGCCGGTCGACACTTGTAGAGCATTGTGTATTATGTTTGCGTTCGTTTTGAACATAAATATAGTATTTTGTGTGTGTTTTATTTTTATGTGTACATCACATCATTATTCCTTGTGTATTTTTATCTTGTGTCTGTTTCATTTCATTGGTGTTACCTCTGAACAAAACCACAAACAAATAGTGTTGGTGTCTCTCAAAAATTTAAGTGTTCTGTGCTAAACCAAAATCTCTCGAGGTAGTAAGGCTCTAGGCACGGATGGCCAATGGTATTTAGCGTGGTGAAATGTCCTTGTCTTGATATGTAGCGCCGCAGAAACTGGCTGGCTGACGTTGGACGGAGAGCACCCTGAAGTAGTGACCATCCAGAAAAGGACAGCTGAGCTCTTCCTTCTAGCCTAGTTCTTGAACGGGTCAGTTGGGTATTGATGAGGTAACAGTAATAAGTGTTAAAACTGCAAACTTAATGTTAGTGTTGGTGTGCGGTGCATAGATACATAGTAATTTTTTATTACTAATTGATAATTAGGTTTTGCAGTATAAATGATCAAATAAGTAATAACTTATTTATAAGAAGAGTACGTATTATTTATTATGAAAGTGGGATGCAGAAATAGATCGCCTCCACGTGGTACACCCTGGGCATTTCTCGGTGGCTACAGATCTATCGATTTGGCGGCCAAACTGTCGTTTACAAAGATCTCTTAGCCTGGTTACATGCAACTTAACTCAATGCACCCGAATCCCAAAATGGCTCCTTTTAGGGCCACCAGACAAGGAAGCTCCAACTTACCAAATATCTTAATCTGTAAGACTAATAATGTTTAACTACTGTTACTCATATCAACTATATTACATTTTATTTTATTCTATGGTATCTCCATTATCTACATAACATTACTATACATTATTTAAGTAATTTTAGTACACATGGAATACGAATCCGGAATCAAGAACATTAATTAGAATTTGTACAGATTATAATATTTCTGATAGATAAGCATTTATGAGTTAGCAAACTGAAATGAATGTCCCTAGAGCCAACTAAGTATACAATAAATTGTATATTATGTATAAGTAATATATTTATGTGGTCTATAGACCAAGTCGTACAAGTTCGCCGCCACCACCACGGAATTTTGCTATAACAATGCGGTGGCAGTATGAAACTACAAGCGTTTAAGCCCGTTTGACGGTTTTAGCGTACCTATTGGCTATTATACATATACACATTATTTTTTGCAAACTGCTCGGCGACGACCTGTCAGACCCTCCACGTAGTGGTGTTGTTGTGTCCCTTTTTACACTATTCAATAACTAATATCATACATATACATATACAATATTATACGTACACTATCCTGTATACACATAAAAATATAATACCACGAGTCACAAGAGTCATTGTTATTTTTATACACATTGTCAATTGTTGTTATTACAGTAGGACTCGGGCCGAAAGGAAACCGCAGGGCACGAAGACATCCTCTTTCTATGTGTGTGTATATCAACATTTATATAAATATTATACCTATCCTATATATATTATGTACATCCGCGCGAGAGAAACACCACAGCCAGCAGTATTAAATCGCCGGCACCGATTCAAATAAGGCTTTAAATAGCACAAATAAATACTCTACAGTATTGGGTCGATGTTATCGGGCCCGTGTTTATGTAAGCGATTTAATTTCTATTATTTTTTATTTATTGGAAATTGATCGTCCTTCCTTTTTGATCTGGAATTGTTTGGGTTGATTTGACGCATTGTGTGATACGTGCATGACGTTCTGGGAGGGAAATGTCTAATATGCGATTTGATGAATCTTATTTATCGCAAATTCTATAGAAGTTGTTTTTAAAATACAATCGTTCGATTTTTGCTTTCTTTACCGATACGGTTGCCTATTGTGCATCGAGTTAAGAGGGCCTGCAAAATAAACCCCACTCGAGGTAAAATCAAATCGAATAATTTAATAGGTTGAAGTACATATATAGATACTATAATCGTACATGTCCTCTTCATACTAACAGAGTAAAATAACATACAATTTTGCTGAATAGAGGACAACTTTATAAAGTTTAGTATTATAATAATAATAATCTTTATTACGGAAAATTTTCTCCAATTACTATATATATATATATATATAAAATGACAGTTTAAGTACATTTAACATTAATTTGAATTCGAATAAAAAAAAAACAAATACATATTTACATAATATATAAATCCAAGTATATAATTACATATCCAAATAAAATAAAGTTAAAAAGTAAATTCGATAAAATATACATTATTTATAATGCACCTGTTAAGTTACAGTGTTAACTCAAAGAGTGACGTATTAAATAAATCAATATTGTACACACTACACAGAGTTAAGTTTATTTGCAGGAGAGTGCATATTGTAGGTATTAGAAGAAATGAAGGGATAAAATAGTGATTTATTTCTAGAATTTAAAGAATTAATTTTGAAAATTAAACGTTCAGCAAGTTTAGGACAATCAATTTGGTTAATAAGTTATTTATATAAACATTTTTAGTTAAGCAATCGAAATCTTTTATTTAATTACATAATCATAAAAGAATTTCTTGCATCGTCATATCCCGAATGAGGACATCTTTGAAGAGGTATAAGCCTCATTATCAAGATATGACATAGTTGCAGGTAGGTATGATGATGATTTTTATAAAACTTCCAAAAAGATTTGGGATTGACATTAACAGGGCACAGAACGTTATTAATGTAAGTTTTATAGTCACGATATCTCATATATTTACATTTATTACGAAGAAAAAAAAATTTCAGATAAGATGCAGTAGTAGGTATTTAATGTTTTAAAAATATAATGAGCATTTTTCTTTTGCCTGATTAATAATTTTAATTCATAACTACACCATAAAGGGTAATTTAATTTATGTCTACAACTTATAGGGACAAATTATGTATTATAATATATTAATATCAGTATTGAATCAATGGTTTTATAAGAGAGGCGTGACCGACAAGGGACTAATCAGTATTCAGTAACCACTAAAAGAGGTATAGATTTTCTAAAGCAAAACTAAATATTGTGGACTACTTTAAACGGATAGAATTGCAACAACGTAGTACCTAGTAGTCCATACGCGCACATTCTTCTGTGGCTCTCCGAAGACCCTAAAGAGCCTTTTATCTGTGAACACTAAACCTCCCTTACTTACTCATTTACGTATACTTGTCCTACTGTGCTTGATTTCAAAATTTGCAGTCAATTTAATTTAACTTAGTAACTCAAGTTATTAAAAATAACTTTTCCTATAATTCTCAGTAATATTAAAAAATGTATGTTATAGCATTACAGCTGTAGTTATACCATTGTTCAATAGGACTAGATGATAGAGGAAACTCGACTATTGGGCGAACTATTCGGTATTGGAAATTTCAAAAATTATAAGTGTCCACTTATTGCAATTAGCAATTCAAAAATGTTCATAGAAACCTTTTAATAATAAATTACACAAAAATGTCAAATAATAATATTGTAATAATTATAAAAATAATGATAGTTAAAAAGAAATTATTTTCTACTTGATAAATACAAGTTGTTTTTAAAAGAAACCATAGAACAGTTAAATATTATTTTAGCGTTTATTTAATTTAAATTTTGTTATATTATTTGGTTAGTATAATATTAGGTATAAGATTGAAAATATTTAAATGATGCAACAATAAATAATTTAAATAATTTACTTATATTAGATCTTGTTATTCCATAGAGACACAATTGTTTTTAATTCTAAGAATTATTTCAAAAGCTTTAGGGTTTGTGATATCGGCTACTAATAATTTACAACCATCTGATATTCCTAACTGCTCTAATGTCATCCTTAAATTTGGTCGCGTTTTCAATTCTATACTAGGTACATTTGGCATGTACAATGTTTTTCTTTTACTATCAATCTCTATTGTCAACGCAGGATCTTTCATTTGATATTGGGGATGCTCTCGAAGCATCTCAATAACTCTTTCAAGCCGTATGTTGGTATCATCTATATCGAGATATCTAGAAGCAGCTGGCCAGCATGTTATACAATCCGATTTACGTTCAGCTTCATAAGTATACGTATAAATACCATCAGCGTCATTAAATACTGCATAGTTATTTAACAGAGAGCAGCAACTAGTAGCTACTTTAAAGGATTCAGTTGCACAAGCTGCAGCTATCACAGCATTTGTTGATGCAACTGCAGGTATAATATTTTTAATCACTCCTTGAACTAAGCGATAATTTACTCCAAATATACCTAAAGAAAATAATTTAATTTTTAATAATATTTACAGATTTCATTTTTGTGTGTATACTAACCAAATTGATCAGCTCTTTCAAGTGATTTTTCATAGATCCAACTAATATGTGTAGGGTCATCTGTATCGATGTTACTATCAAACGGATTTTCTTTAGGCCATTGTATTAATTTAACATACTCAATACAGTGTTCAGGTAACCGTGGTGTACTTGCTATAGTGCATAAAGGGTATGTAACCTATAAGAAAATTCATTATTAATAAATTACATTGCTATCTATGAATATAATTCTGTAAGACATTTTAGTTAATTCTTATAATATAAAGTAAAAAACTGCTGAAGACAAGTAATTACTGAGACATTTTTTCAACTATACACATATTGTTAGTTGAAAGTCAATTAAGAACAATTTTACTTTTTTAATGATATTTAAATTTTATGATTAAGTGAACTAAATTATACTTAGAATAAAGAACCATATTGTGAAAAAAAAATTATGTTATGTTTGAAATTTAAATCCGATCAATTCATTTAAGTTATTTAGTATTTATTATTTTAATTTTTAAAAAATTCCCGCTTTTCCTTATAATAAAAAAAAATATAACAAATCCAAGGACGTTGTAGCAGAAAAAAGTTAAACGTAATATGATAAGATGTTCATGCTTATCACGCTTGACGCTTTGGTGATAAGAGAACGGAGAAGTGAGAATCAAGAAATCAGACTTCAGAAGTTCTTATTTATTACCGGTATAATTTATGAACATAATCTAAAAATTGTATTTATTTATGGTTAAAAGTTTTTTTTTAACAATTTTAATGAACAATTTCAGTTAAAAAATTAGTTTCATATAAATTAAAAAAAACACGTTTTCATACCATTATGTCAAGTAGATGGTAAGTTGGATGTTAAAATTATACAACTTACTGGCCTAACATCGTGTAAAATACAAATTGTTTTTAATGAATAATCGTATAAAATACATGAATATTATTCAATACGTTTTATATATATTCAATATTGTTCATAAAAGACGACTTTTTTAGGTACCCAATATATCAGCGAGGGAACCCTCAATTGCGAGTGTTTTTACCAAATTTTTGGATGAAGTTATTACGACCAGAAGAGAAACAACCGAAAAATGTAGTACAATTTGCAGTGCCTACTGGAATGAGCAATTATGATATTAAAAACTATTTAGAAAAAATATATAAAGTTACAGTTATTAATGTAGAATCGGATATTGAAAATGGTAATACTAACTATTTATCATGGCGAACATATAAAAATAGTATAACTAATTTATTAATTCAGTATATTATATTTATAGGTCTATTGAGAAGGGCCATTAGAAACAAATATGGACAAGTTGTTAAAGATGATGATTTTAGACGCGCGTATGTTACATTGGTAAGAATATTATTACTGTCATAATTTCTAATATAAATTCAACATAATAATAAATATTCAACATAAATAATATAATTTCAACAAATCAATACATTTTTTAATTTTAATTATGACAATTAATTTTTTTGTAATGTCATTTTTATGTAAGAACGGTTATTGTGGTATTATATCGTAAATTAATACTTTGTTTACATGATATAATTAAAATATGGTTTATCTATACTCATCATATCAGTTAACAGTAATAATTTTTCTACTATAATAAAAGAGTACTACAACTATTACATTTTATTAACTAGAAAAGTGGACCAGGTTTTTCAAAAGAGAGTAAAATGGTAAACAGCATTACAGGTAAACCCTAACATAACCTAATTTATCGACCGAAAAATACTTATTTTAGATATTCCAAAACAGCAGTATGCAAGAACTGAAAGAATTTTTTATGAAGTTTTTACTTATTTTTAAGTGTACCTATTGTCAGTTGTTCCTTGTCATAAGTTTATAAATCATGTAACTTTTATTTTTATAAAAAAATTATATTTAGATTAATAAAAAATATTTTAAAATTAAGTATTGTATATTTCAGCCTCGTGATCAAGAATTTGAATTTCCTGAAGTATGTACTAGTGAGGAAAATAAAAAACGACGTGATGATGATGAAAAGTCAACAAAAATGTCTCGAGAAATGTACAAAGGTTTCCTGGATAAAAACAAGGACAGACCTGGTTTTCCTGGGTGGTTTTCATTTTAGATTTATTTTAATCATTTAGGTACATGTAAATAAATTTGTAGTAGTTTTGTAATATCTGAAATAATTATAGTTATTATATATTAAACTCTTGAATATTGTTTATTAAATACACACATTTTTTTTTAAAAATATATCTATGTGTTATTAATAGAAGTACCTACCAGCAGTTCTATTTGTATTTTACATATACATGAAAAATAATTACTATTAGGTTATTAAAATAAGTTTCCTATTTTTGAACATAATGATCGTTATATAAATTAAAAATTCTCTTTAACCCTTTCAGTTCCGAATGCCTGAATGTTTAATCTCCTAGTGCTTACAAATTTAAATGTGTAATGTCAGCTTGATATTATTTTTGCTAATTACTAGTTAAAAAATAGAACACAATAGGCGAAAAAAAAAAATTTCCCATGGCAAGTCACAAGATAGGAAGCGGTGTAAACACTGCAGTGCAACTGCCAATGGGATTTTCAAAAAAGCGACTGCTCTGAGGTAAAAGGTCTAGTGATGTTTCAAATAGAACCTTATTCTATTGTCATATATTCAGATTTGTAAGTAAGAAGAGTGGAGCCTCTAATCTAAGGGAATCAGATAAAGTAAAGCCAATAAAAAAAAAAGTTCTTTAGCTAACAACATTTCAGAAGGTTGGGATGTCACTACTCTCAAATCCTCGTGGCATGCAGAACATATAAACTTAAATTAAATGCTATAAAGTAGTACTAATTAATTTACATTATTTTCAATAACGCCCCCTAATGTTGCCGTTTTTGTTTAAAAAGTTACTTGACTAGTAACCTGAAAAGTGTAACATGAATAGATTAATAAACAAAAACATGAATATTGGTCAAGAAAAAATCAACGATCTATTAAAGCTTCAATATGTATGAGTAATAAATTTTAGTACCTGTGGTGGAAATAAATCCAAAGTGCAATCAATACAAGGTGTTATTCCTGGTAATATAACACGCACATTTCCTTTAAAACCTTCAGTGCCTCCATCAATCAATGGTATGACAGTAGTGTTATCAAGCTGTTGTTGCTCATCATACACCAATATGGATACTAACATACCATTTATCCATCTGCGTGCAACAACGGAATCTAGCCCACATACCACTAAATGAAACTGTTTATAAAAATCTTCATCCTTGTCTTGTATTTTGCAATGATGAGGTGTAACACAACATGTAGGCACTCTTTCATTGATAAATTTTGCTGCCACTTCGGCTTTAGAACTATTAACATCTTTCTTTCGAAACAAAAATTGTCTGTTAAGATTTGACAAGTCTATTGTATCCATATCAATGACATGAATGTCACCAAAACCCATCATTGCAAGATCTTTCAGAAGTTCGCAACCCAAACCACCAGCACCAATGACTAGTAATTTACATGAATTTTGTAGAAATTCTAATATTCCTGTACCAGGTTCAAAGTCAGGATGACAAAACGGGCTAGAACGCTCCAAGATTTTTTTCAGATGACTCCATCGTCGATGCTCATAATCAGTCATGGTAAATTAAATTAGCCTTTTACTATAAAGTACAAACTACAAAAACTAATCAAGCTTAAAGTTTACAGTTTATGGCTAAAAACTTAGTTACTAATTAGAATTAATACAATATTTTATTTTTAAAAGCCGGCAGGAACCGCAGGATCGAAAAAAGATGTCTGATAAGACAAGTTATTTTTTAAATTTAACATGATACCGTGGTTTAAAATTATAAAAGCGATAAGAAATTCCAAAACATCATGATTGCCTATCAACTGTAATCAATCCATCTTGATTTTGAGTTTTCACATTTTCTTATATTTAAGTACGATGATTTAAAAAAATCTTTATAAAATAAATCGGAAATTGGTTATCATATAAATTATATTTTATGAACAATCTATCCAAAATTATTAATTATTTTTAAGTCAATAGGTTCAAATATTGTTATATACCTATAACCTCAAAAAAAAGAGATTTATCAAAAGAAAACACTATTTTAAACTTACTACCTGTAACCTGTTCAAGAATTAGAATTTTTTTTTTTATAGACATTGATGGGTCAAGATCTAGAAAAACCTTGTTATTTATTTATATTTATTATATCATATCATTGCCCAATGCTATACGCCTGAATCCCTCTAGAATTCATTCGTTAGCTGGCTATTGGCTTGTGATGTGCCATAATTAACTTACACATTTTCACTTTTCACTTCCGTGTTCCATTTAATACAACCTAGTTTTATAATAATTTTATATTGAAAAAAACATAATGTTGGGTTTAAATTTGATTTGTCGTAATTTCTCAACATCAATTGCTCGTGCTGCCATCAAGAATGTTGTTGTTGTTGGAGGTGGATTAATGGGTTCTGGAATTGCGCAGGTAGCGGCTCAAACTGGACATAATGTAACTATTGTGGAAATCAATAAAGACATTCTAGACAAAACTGAAAAGAGTATTCAAACTAGTATACAAAGAGTTGCTAAAAAGGTCTACAAGGAAAAACCTCAAGATGGCGAAAAGTTTGTAAGTGAAACTTTATCACGCATTAGTTCTTCGACAAATTTACCTGATGTTGTACAAGATTGTGATTTAGTTTTAGAAGCAATAGTTGAAAATTTGTCTATTAAGCACAAATTGTTTCAGTCAATAGATAGTGTTGCACCAGCAAAGACTATATTTGCTTCTAACACATCATCATTGTCTATTGGTGAGATTGCATCAGTCACAAACAGAAAAGATAGATTTGCAGGTTTACATTTTTTCAATCCAGTCCCAGTAATGAAATTGTTAGAAGTTGTTAGAATCCCTGAAACATCCGATGAAACATATGAATCATTAATGGCATGGGCCAAAGCCATTGGTAAAACAGCTATTACATGCAAGGACACACCTGGATTCGTTGTTAACAGATTACTAGTTCCTTTGTTAGCAGAAGCTGTTAGATTGATGGAAAGAGGAGATGCTTCTCCGAGAGATATTGATATAGCCATGAAATTGGGGGCTGGACATCCAATGGGACCTATCGAGTTGGCAGATTACGTAGGCCTTGATACCACTAATTTTATATTGAAAGGATGGAACGAAAAATACCCTGAAAATCCATTATTTAAACCTTGTTCATCATTAGAAAAGTTAGTAAGTGAGAAAAAATTTGGGGTCAAGAGCGGCGAAGGGTTTTATAATTACAAAAAATAAAAAGTTAAGAAATTATTTTTACTATTATTGCTTAATTTATGTTTAATTGGTTATTTAAATTATATATTTTGTTATAAGTAGAATGGTGTATGTATAATATAAAAGTGATTCAATGAATACTTGTTTTTTTTTTAATAAATTAAATATATATTTATAATAATAAGTGAACTCTATTTTAAGTTGAGCATATTTTTATCTCTTACTTTAATAAGATGATGATGTTCTTTTAACTAAATCCTCTTCCTCATACTTAATATGTGTTCAGACTTTCTTTTGAAACACACATCATTGTATTCAGCAGTATCGGCGGCGCCAAAGTTTTGAAGTATTACTAAGGCAAATTAGCAAAATTAATGACCTTAAAATGTTAGTTCAAAATAATTGTTGATATTTGTAATTAACTTATTGACTAGAAATCAACTAAAGATTGTTTTATTTTTATAATTTGTGAAACATCCAAATCATATCGACTAGTTTCTTATTTATAAAATGCAAATAAGTTAAAAAAATATAAACATCCAGTAATTGTTGATTGGTGTATAGAAACTAATAAAACACAATTTAATCTAAGAAAAAATTACTGAAATTAAAATTATATTTGAATGGCAATTTTAAACTTTACTGTTGGTCAAGTTGTATTAGTAAGCAGTTAGTGATATTAACTATTATCATATAGTATTTTAATTTTTTTAGCAGATACGGGGGAAAGACCGTTGAAGTACCCCTCTATAGCGCCGTAATACTTGCACAAAAAAAAAAGGTAATAATAATTATTATAATGTTATAAATAAGTAAGTACATTTTATAATTTGAGCATTATGTTTTCAGTGGTGTAAATTAAAAAAAATTGTGTATAACTTATCTTCAATTCTAGACTTTTTAACATAAAACTTCAAAGAACTTAAAGGGAAACGGAAAGTGTCAATTTTTTTTACAAATACAGATTAAAACGCGAAGCACTTTCTGAAGTGTCTACTGAATCGATTTCAAAACAATTTCTTTTGTTGTATAGTTTAACATCTTTTCGATGTGGGCTAAAAGACCGATTTTTTATTTTTGTTTTTAAGAAATTATTATAATCATTTAGATTTTTATTTTTTTATTGTTTTTCTAATAAGTCAAACTAATTTTCTTATTGCTAAATCAGAAATTGGCCTTTTAGCCCCCATAGAAAAAATTGTGAGCTACACATATAAGAATAATAAAAATTGAAATCTGTCCAATAGATACGCCAGAAAATTACTTCTACGAATGTCGTTTTTTATCAAACTTTCATCATAACTCAAAGAAAAATAACTTTAAAAGTATTTAACCAAAAAAACTTATTAATTTTTTCACCTTAAAATCCGTGAAATGGCTACTAGATCAATTTTTGTAAAATATTGCCTATCCCTTTTAATAAATAATATTTATATGGTTTAAACGTATACCAATGACCCTTTCTTGTTTCTATACTTTTAAACTACATTGAACATTAGTTGTATATTATATATTCCAATTTGTTAACTACATATGAGAAACAATCGATAAAACAATAGTGTTTTGGGTATTATGTTAGGAAAAAATGAACAAATAAAATCAAAATTTAATTATTAATATATTTATTTTGGTTTTTCTTAGTTCTTATAATAATTTGTCTTTTTACAAATATGTCAAAAACTAAACAACTAATTCATAAAACTGTGAAACAAGCATTATATCAGATTTATTATACTTTAAAAACATTAAAGCAAAATTAAAATGAAGTAACATAATATAACCACTTAACAATGATATAAATAAATGTTTACATAAAAAAATGGTGTACAAATAGAAGCATTATTAACACTGTGAAGAAATATAATATATTAAAAGTAATATTACAATAAACATAATATTTATTCTAAAATATATTTTTTAAATGTTTAATCTAAAATTAAACTAAATCATTTACAACAAAAACAATAAAACTCCTCAGAAAAAGTATAATATAAAATTAAGGAATATTAATAGTAAATCAAAATATTTTAAATAACAGAAGGCTTGTGTCATTTACATTTACCCAGAATGATTTGCAGATAGAAAGATTGTTGACTTTAGACAACTTAATTTATAAAATTGACATTAGTTGGGTAATAATTTGCCAATAACAATAATTAATTTTTCAAATGAAAATATAAATTTATGTTCTAAAAATTTGAAATATTTGGTTTTTATAAATTTAAAATATAACTAAAAATTACTTAATATTCATTTGTATAAAAAAATATAGTTTATAGCTTACATGTAGAAATACACTTGCACGTAACGTATAACAATATACCATCTTCAAATCATTAAAAGATATTGTACATAGTAATACAAAAACCTATTTAGTGTTGTAATATAGTGACAGTTCCATTTAAACAATAGATTGCTTAAATGACTTGTGTGATTCTAGGGGCTCAGATTTAATTTTCATAATACATTCAAAGGATACATTATCAAAATATAAATTTTATTTTTGAGCTTTTTAATGTTATTTAATGTATATATTGTTTTTTTTTTCAAGAAATTTATATATTTTGATAGGGTCATTGAGAATATGCTTGTCATTAAAAAATTATGGACATAAAAATTATAATTTAACTCAAAACACAAAAATTACAATAAAAGTATAAGCTTTGAAAATACTTACAATTTTAATTATTCTTCATACAAGAAAATATTTTAATGTTAAAATGGAGGCTTAAGAAAAGAGAGCAAAAAATTAGTACATATCGGTTGATTTCCTAAACGGCAAATAATATTAAATATTCACTGTTATCCCAAATTTTGTTACAGATCAAACTTGGTAAAAAAATTAATAAATAAAACTTTCAAACAATTTTTAAACGAGTACATTTTAAGTGGTTATTATTCAAATGAATATAAGGTTTTTTGTGATGTACTCATTACTTATTTATTAAGTTATAAAATATAAAATACATGAAGTTTCACCTACATAACTACAAATATGATATAATTAAGGTAAGATAAAAATTTGAAACGTTTAATTTTAGTAAAATACTTGATCATGAATTTAAAGTAAACACCAAATTATGTATACATTATAATTATCTGGAGTACAAATTACAATAAATTTTGCAAACATCCATATTATTATTGACCAACACAAAATAACACAATTTATACTCATCATTAGGAGATTCTAGAATATTTAAAATCATTATTAAGGCTACTTAAAAACATATCATCCCAAAGTTATACCACTTTCCAGACATACTGTACATATTACATTTTTAATACTCAATTATTTTTTTCTTTTACCCTGTACAACTACTATGTTATTACTGTTGAAGCTTATTTTAAAGTTCATACTGACAAAAAAAAAAAAAAAAAAACAAAATCAGTCACAATATAAAGTTAAAAAAACAAAAATTAAAACTAAATTAGTTAATAATAGTTAACTTAAAAACAAAAATCAATTGTATTACAAAAGGTCTTCTTTGTATTTTGTTTTAAAAATATTTTAATATTACAATATTTTAAAACACCATTATATCTTTTCATTAAGACTTAACTATTTCATTTTTTTGTTGGATCAAACTTAAAAGACAAAATTTATAAAAGAAGTTAAAATATTGAACAGTGAATACATATTTATTATGTATATATAATATGTAAATGAATAAATAAATAAAACTCACTCGATGATATTTGTTTTTTAAGTCAAGTATCTAAGGACAATATTTTTATAAAAATATAATGGCATAACATTAATTCATTAAAAATAAATTATTAGAGTGATAAAACATGAAAATATGTTTGCTAGAACAACATTTCAAAAATATATTCTTAATTTTATACTTACAATTTGTTCCACTTAACATAATAGTAATTATAAAAATGTTCCCTCAATTATTTAATCTGAATCAAGTTTTCTTTTTTTCCCTCTTGTGTCTTGCGATTCTAAAAAATAAAATTGTAAAAATAATAACTAATCTAAAAAAAGAAACTCTAAAATAGCTTCTGAATACTTTGATTATATTTATGTAATAAAAACTATTTGTGTAATATTTATGTAAAAGTAAATTTTCAAATGAACAATGTGTGTGTCTATGAACAAATACAGGACTTTATGTAATTGATTGAGACCTCTAATTTTTACTGATATTTATGAGTTTTTCAGTTAAAATGTACAGATTTATACCTAAAAGCAATTATGTTAATTTTAGAAATAGAATTCCTGTAAAAACTAGTGGGGTAACATTTCTAATACACAAATTTATACCAATGTTATTAAGTTTATTTTCAACCAATTAAAAGTGTTTTAAGTAAATTATGTACAGATCGTAATCATGTAAGAAAACAGTTTACTAAGTTAACTTAATTGCTCTATTTATAGATACTATATTTCTGTTAGTGTTTAATTTTAACATTGCATTAGTCGTAATGAAATATTATTATCAGTATTACTATACAAATTGTGTTTCTTATTTTATCTCGATCAATAGCAGACCTCAAATTACAACAAGTTATTGGCCCAGGTACACTAGCTATAGATAGAACAAGGATTAAACACAGAAAACGGTATATGATTAATGATCATCTCGGAATTTAGGATAAGGTATATTGTACAACTTGTAATATTTTTCTGGAACACTATCGAACATGGACGATTCAGCAATGATTATAAAATGGGTTGGTGCAAAAAAAATGGCAGAAATTCCATATGAAGTTAATATTAAATTCTTATGAAATATTAAATATAGTACAGAAGATTGGGTAGAAGTCCAATTCAAGTATCACAAAGAACTTGAGAGAAATTGATGAAGCAGCAAAACTAGAGTACAAGCTATGAAGAGTTCATGATTATGTCAGATGGCAAGTGTCAAAACTTAACTGTGACTAGTTGAAAATGGTCTTTATGATATTTAATTAATAGCAAAACTACAAAAGAAATGTGATATTTATGAAAGATTTAAGACGTTACTTGGTTTATTGTTTTTAAATCTACTGTAAAATTAAAGTGCTAATTTAATAATCTACATTAAATTATTAACAGTTCTTAAATTTTTGTAAACTCAATGTTTTTTTTATATCACCATTTAATAAAACAAAATACACAGGTTTAATCTTAGCCTCAACCACTTGCTGATAAATGTTTGTTTGAGCCTATACAAAGTGACTAAAAGTTAGTACATATTGTTATTAAATCGGAAACTGAACTTAAATATTACCATTTTCAGGGCTATCGTCTGCCTCATCATCACCGTTGTCACTATCATCAGTATTATCAGTATCTAATCCTTCTTCTTCTTCATCTTCTTCGTCTAATACATAATCATTGCCTTCGCTCTCTTCATCAATATTGTCTTTAAGCATTTCTTCCAAGCCCACACCTCCAGTTTCTTGTTCACCATTTTCAGATTCATATTCACTCTCTTCTTCATCACCTTCTTCTTCTTCAGCTGAAATAAAAACAATTTAATACTATAGATATGTGTACTATAATTATTATGACAAAAAAATAATCTGTATTGCTAATTAAAAAAAAATAATTTATACAGGATAATAGACTGCTAGTATTGGACATTGATTTAGGGAAATAACTTTGAATGAAATAGCTTTTAATCTTATGAAATTGCTAGCTTCATTGTAATACAAAAAGTTGTATTTTATTTGTAACGCACCATTGGTAAGGTATCAGTATAGGTTATTATTTAACCAAACATTAAATAAATCATAATTGTAAAGTTCATGTTTAATCACTGTTAAACAAACAAATGGAATGTTGCTGCATTAACAGCATTCTTACAATGGGGTTTAATCCTGGGTACAATACAATGGAAAAATTTTGATTTTAAGTAATACTTGGTATTAGTATCTTATAAAGACCAACAATAATTTAAGTTTATTAGTATTATTATTCATTTAATACAATACTTCTTTGAAATACTATTATAATAAATGGTTATACCATGTGGAAACTGAAATAAATAATTTATACACAAAGAACAGTTTAGTATTTACCTTCAGATTCTGAATCAGCAGATTCATCACTATCCGAGCCAGGTTCACTTACTCCATTAGCAACTTTTTCCCTAAAATAAAATAGTAATACAGTTTTTTGAATAAAATAAAAAAAATACTAAAAAACATAAATTATAATAAAAAAGTATAAGTTAGTAAAAAATATGTATATTTCAATTTAACATTCAAAAAGTAATAACATATATAAACAAATATAAAAGCTTACCCATCAAGGTACTTAAGTACTCCAGTCAATTTTTCTTTTACAAATTCTTTGTATCCTTGAACCTTTGCCACTTCATTATTAGATAAATCCAAAAACTTAAGCTGCTTTAATACTCCCTGAAATAATATCTTATTAAAATTTATGTAAAGTAAAGTGTTTTGTTTTAATATAAGAATTACAATGATAATACTTACAAGTGGTTCAATAGATTCAAAATCTTTTATTTTATTTTGACTGAGATTTAATGATTTAAGTTTTTCACAACCGCTTAGATTTTGTAAGCTGTTAGAAATTCGATTTTCACTGAGATCCAGCTGATAACAAATGAATAAATATACATAAAATTTCATAAAAATACTTATATTTTGTGTTTTTCACACTTACATATTGAAGTTTTGGTAATTTTGGAAAACCTTTCAAGCTTGTCAATCCAACACTAATTAAGCTGAGACTCTTCAGGTTAACATACTCATTTGTGAGACCAACTATTGTGGTACTCCGGCAATCATCTAAGATAAGTTGTTCTACCTAAAAAAATTATAACAATATTTAGTGAAATTGTTTTAAACTTAAGTATGTACACACATTTTGAAAGCTATTTATTTAGTTAAAACAATAAGATATGATTTTCCTTGTGAGGCCAATAAAATTGATTACTTTTTATAAGAAGTGTTAATATTAAACCATTTCTAAAATTGAATGATATTTAGTGGTATCAGTTAGCTATCTGTGTGTACCTGAAGTATGATAAAATTAAGTTTTGGTATTTTACTATCTCAAAAAACTCTAAAGCAAGCACAGAATGAATAGAACAGATATAAGTTATAATTTATACATAATATGGGTTATTACTTATTTAAAATAAATAAAACTTTCATTGTAAAAACAACTTTCCTTTTTTTTTTTGCATCTGTGCAAAAAAAAATGTATACAATATTGTAAAGAGACACATAAAAATCAAACTTCATTACATTTGTTTTGAATGTCAAAATCATCATTATGTTTTTTTAAAATAGTTTCGCTACTTCATTTTAATATCAAAATGTACATAGACAACAGAATCTTTTCGGTTAAAAGCAAAAGATCTATGAAAAATATTATGATGACACTGTATCAACCAATAACTGTCATGTTTCATTTTAAACATTGAGGGCCTCACTTAAAAACTTAGAAATAAAATTCCACTAATAACATTAATTTAGTTGGTGACAAAACAGTGGTCTATAACTATTGGCAAACGGAGATGAATTACAATTTTTTTTGGTACTTAAAATGTTAATAAACCTTAAGTTATTGGTAGTATGAATACTTCAGTTAATTAATGTCAGTCAGTCGAGATTCGAGAACTAGGTAAAAGACATATTTACAACCCTCATACATGATATGTATGTACAAACACATTAATGTTTATTACACAGAAAAACAGATTATAACAATCAAATAACAATTGAAAAGGGCTGCCGTGTATGAGTATTTATTACTAGACGACCAAGTTCGATAAAAAGTGCGACGAAATTTTTAAAATTAAAACATGGCCGCTGAACTGAATTGCCTCCTTCCCCCCTCGCCATTCGTACCACTGAAATGTGCACGCACACACCTGTCTGTCCAATCGTTGTCGCTGTTGTATCGATAGCTCAATTAAAACCGTCGCAGTGGCGGCAATGCAGTACTTGTATACAATATAATACAATACACCGATAAATGTAAATACTACAGTTCATTTCAAAGTATATACTATAATAATATTATTATTATTATCAGATATTGTAGATTTCTCGTGAGATCGATTCGTGACCACGATAAGACACTAGGCAAACCAAACACACCATTACCAAAACAAAATAGATAATAGTCAATAGGATGTTGCTAAACGATATTATCGTTCTGGATGTATAGACTATAATGTAACAAATTACCGGAAAAATGTAATCATAGGAAAATTTCGGCCGCGAGTTGGCGAATGGTTCGAGATCAGCACGCTGAACGCATGCCGGAATAGCGGTCACCTGAGCGTGCGCGCGAGCCGGCCGACTTAAGCTTTCAAATGGCCACACGTTGGAAAAACGACTTGATGCAAAATTAATGAAAACCCTAAGTGTACCGCGTACACACACAAATTACCTCATCGGGAGCTCGGCCCCGTTTCTCCAGCTCAATTCTCTTTTCCATGTCGATTTCTTGGTCCGTCGTGGTGGCGGATATTCAACACGCGCGAGAAATAGTCACACACGCGTATTTCTTGAGTAAAAATGTATGCAAACAAACAATTGATGTCGCCAAACGGTTTGAAAAAAATAAAGACGAACTAAATAAAAATCCCGTGTTTGTATAGACCGCAGAGCGAAAATAAAAACGTCCGGCACACGGTTGTAAAACGTAAACGAAAGGATTAATGTTTCACCGGAGCAACACAAAACGTACTAAATAATTAAAATACCTTTCGTAATGAATATCGGTAACGTAAATGGTATACAAAGACGGGGAAACGCTGAATCTAAAAGCCTACACCGACGCCGCATACACGAAAATCGAAATAGCTACTATACTATCGCACCACAACGTTCACTCGACATACACACACATTCAAATTATACACAACACAGACGCACACATTAACAAAATTTACGTACGACGCGCTCGCTAACGAGGAAAGCCGAAAGACTATACATACAATACACTGTAATCTGTATAGTGTATAGACTATAATGTGTATTTGTGCATAACGCAGGCGCACAGTGTGTGCGATTGCCCGTTGCCGGAAACCGCGGCAACGATATGCGGGGTAGGCCGGTTGTGGTCACACTCGTAGATATTCCGGACTTACCATCTGGTACTGATACTGTAATCTATTTGTAAATTGTAATTAACAACACTATAATAGTCAATAATGTTACGATAAATCATACAATTTCAAAAACGCAACTATTACTATTTACTTGTTTTGTATTAAATATGTACACATGTATTTAATGAATTTTATTACGAAATATCACAATACATTTTTGTGCACTTCAATATAGTATTTACAGAACGATATATAACATTTCGAAACACACATTTGTAATTATTTGTTAATCTAGAGTTCACTAATTTTTTGGTAAATAGAAATTTAAATAATTTTAATTGTAACCAGTGTTTGGAGCATACCATTTCAAAAAGATTATTATGCATTCCCATCTAGATTTCTTCAAATTGTATAGAATATTGAATAAAATGTGTGCTCAATTAAACATTTGTTTTGGGGCTAAACAAATAATTCAAATTTACTTTTAAATTTTACTCAAAATGTAATGCATTCATAAAGAAATTAAAAATGAAAAACTTTGGAATGTATTCTATCCAAACACTGGTTATAACTTAATAATATATCATTGTTTAACAACTAGATTAAAAAACAACCCTTGAACTAAATTAATACTTGACTAATAGTTTAATTATTATTTTATATTTACTACTACAAATTTGCTTTTAGATTATTATGGAGATTAATAAAATAGCAATTTTAGAAAAATGCGTTGCTGCTTTAGAATACAAGGTTTACGGAAATAATTCTCAATCATCATTTTCATTGGGTAGTTTGATTGATGAAATAAATAAAGTAGACACTACAATAAGTAATGCTTGTATTGGTCATCCTAATGCAACTGCATTACTTGGGCATGTAAAAATCTTGGATCAGTTGATGGATCCATTCTATGAAGACTTGCAGCTAGAAACGTCTAAAAGAGAAATTATACTCTCTGCTGAAACTGATTTTGTGGATTATGCACAACAGTTGAACATTTTAAAAGAAAATTGGCCAGCTTTAAACAATAAGTCTTATGGAGATTTAGACAAATATACTAAAGATATTGAAAAACTTGTTAATGATGAAAGAAAACAGAGAAATGCTATCAAACAACAAACAGAGCAAATACATAAGTTATTATTTATGTAAGAAGAACATTTTTTTTCTATATAATATATGGTACCCATCTTCCTTAAAATACTAAATCTTGTACTAATAATTTTTATTTGTGTGCATAGGTATGAACAGTTGATGTTAAAATTTTCTTTAGCATTTGAGAAGTTAGAGAAAGCTATCACTGAGTTGGAGTTTAATTCATCTACCAAACCAGAAGAAAGTAATGAAGCATAATAAAAAAAATTGAACTCTAAAAAAATATTTGTATAATAATATATATATATATATGATAACATTAAGTAACATAATTAAAATAATTGTTGTTTTATTCGTGCAATTATCATTTATTTTCAATATCAGTTCATCCTGGCTATTTTGGTTTTTATAAATGTTGATTTATTAGAAAATGTATAATAATTCAATAATATCTCTTATATTAGCTATTATAGACAAACAAAAAATGTATATCTAAATAAAGCTAATTATATTTTACAACTATAATAAAATATATAACACTCGTAAATATACATTTATCAAAAACCCGGTACCAATGCGTACCTCATGAGTAAACAAATCGAGTAGGCAGGCCGTGTATGAAAGTCAAACGATGATCTAAACGAGTGCACGCAGGGAGTAACAATAGCAGACAGCATGGATAAAGATAGATGGAGGAATGTAGTAGAGGCAGCGAAAGTCCTTCAAGGACCGTAAAAGCTCAAGAAGTAAAAGAACATACATTTTTTAATCTTTGGTCCTATAGTGCTAGAGACGAACTATTTCATTGTAGTGTAGAAATGTGGGTAGCCATAAAATTAGACTGTTAATAAATTAAAAGGCCACAATATTTTATATATTTTTTGTTTATAATAATTAACATTGTGGATGAAACTGTACTCAAATTAAGAAAATCACTTTTAATTCTTTAAATATTGTTATTCATTTTAAAATTTCTAAAATAATGGTTGATTATTTTTGTTTAAATTGCTTAGGTACCAATTTGTTAACTTTAGGACCATACAATTTAAATTGCATCTTGCCTATATCCTACATACACATATCTGAAGTGAAAAGTTTTATTTCAATAACATTTCAGTTAATATTACTTATTAGGTATATCATTTTTATATTATGCATTATGGGGGACAAATGGGTAAAGTAGTAGCGGTCATAAGTGAACGACCTACTGGGATACTAGGTAAATCCCGGGAGGCCCTTTTCTTATTTATATACTATTTAGGGTGATTCATAATGGATAAAACACTCATTTACTCTTAAAATAGTTTCAATTTTGTAGTTTTTCTTTTTGAAGATACTTAGCTAGTGTTATTTTTCAATAATAGGCCCTATTCAGATTTTGGCTAACCTCATATAATTGGAAAAAACTGAAGGTGTAAGTGGACTTTAATGAAATAGCCAATATTTATAATTTAAAAAATATATAAAGAAATAATAAATAAAAGTTAACAATACAATTTATTTGTTAAAATAGGAACTAATCATTATATTTTGTTAATAAAATCTAAATTAAATAAAAAATAGTATATTAATAAGTTGACATATTTAAACAAGCTCCCGTTACATTTTATGAATACTGTTATTAATAGAAAAAGTTAATATTTGGAGGCAAAGTCCCATTTGCACGTGCTTTTTCTACATTAGCATTGAATTCATTAAAATCTACATAAGGTAAAACTTTTTTAGCTAAACTACTAGACTGGTCCGTTGTAGTTGATGTAGTAGTTTGAGTCAAGTTAATGGCAGTATCTAAAATCACAAACATAAATTTATTACTAAATTAAATACAAAATTATATATTTTAATTATATTATTTACCTTGATCATATGAACTATTCCAACTGTGTTGTTGTTCTGTGATAGCATTGGGCATCGCAAAATTAAAATTACGCACCATTAATGTTATGTTTGGACGAGTAGCACCAATAACATTATCTTGAGCTTCATGTGTATCATGATATATTCTTGCTATATGATCCACAACAGCTTGTGCAACACCAGTTAATGTAGACTGTATGCGCAACTAAAATATGTAATCAAATGCATAAATATAAAAGGGATATATTGGGTTTATACTAGGGCTCCCTATTTCACAGCTCACGGATTCACGTGAAATTAATCATAAGTTTATAAGACTCGTGATTGGAAATTGTTACCGTGATGTATTACTTCACATACATAACCGAGATCCCTAGTTTATACAACAAATCACATAAGCAATTTTTTTTTTTTAACATACTTGCTCTACAACCAATAGCGCTAATTCTTTGTTCACTTGATTTGTTCCAGTAGCTTCTTCTAATATTTTTAAAAGACCCGGTGATGCTATCATCATGAATCTAATTTTTAAAAAAAGATTACTATATGCAACACTTATTTAAATCATGAAAATTATATTAATAATATGTGAATAATAGAATATAAATATTCAAAATTTACCGATATGAAGAATCAATTGCTATTCCTCCAGTAATATGAGGTTCAGCAATTATTGGTTCGGCAGCTGCAGAACTGAGTCCTTCATAATCTTTATACGCACTTTTTACCATATAGTTACAAAGACATCGTGTTGCTAATTGATTTCCAATTGTTCGACTACCTAACATGGAAAATATATTAATTTTTTTTAAATTTAATAAATTTATATAGATAAATTGTAAATGTACCATTGATTTTTCCTTCAGTTACTTGCAATCCAAGGTTAGTCAGTCTCATTACTTCATCTAAGTTGGTTAAATTATGATCTACACTTAACTGTACTACTCTTAAAACATCATCTTGGTCGGTTTTGCATAATAATATTCGACTTTCTCCCACGTTAGCAACAAAAAGATGGTTGTTTTTTAGTATTGCTATAGCTGCCCCAGTACCACATGATAATTCTTCATTAAGCTCCTTTAGCTTTTCTATCTAAATTATAAAAGATACATGTAAATTTAAAAATCATAATTTTATGATTAGTAGTTTTAAAATTTACAATTTGTGGGTATTGTTGATATGCATCATAAGGTGATATATTTTCAGGAAGTTGAAATTGGAGACTAGCTCTTTGAAGAAGTTTATTGTCTATAGTCTCTAAATAAGTAGTTTCCACAGATGTAAAACTTTGCCTAAAATTATTTCAAACACACATGTAGTGTATATAATACAAACACAAATTTTGACAAAAATCAAATAAAAAAAGTGTTTAATTAAGTCTATACTGAATTATTTCTCTAGCTATCTGATCCAATTCTGTATTTGGCAGTTGACCTAGTAATATTTCTGCTGCAATTCTGTCTCGGGCAAACTGAGCAGCATTTGTACCATTGTGGCCATCAAAAAGTCCATACAGCCATACCACACCATCATCGTAACAACATCTGAGACAAATATCTTCTGACTCTAATTCTTCACGATGCTGACCTAATTCATTATATCGCTGACGAGTCAAGTACCCAACTCCTAAACAATGTTTAACTAAAATTACAATTTTATTAAGGTTACCAAATTACATAACAAAAATCAAATATGGCTCGGTTCTAGGGGTTGTTGTGGTGGGTACTAAGATAATTTGTAGGTACTAACAGCACTGCCATTCCTACGAAAGTAACATATTGCTATCCTGATCGGGAATACTTGTATGGGATTCCAAAGGAAAGATCCATATTATTTTTTCTAAACGGGATTTCCGCAGGATTATTTCTATAATCCATAATATCTATGAAAGCTAAGTAAGTAACTGGATTTGGGGCTAGTAATTTACTCCAGTACTGCCCCAATCCGCTCCAAACAAGCATTAAGCTGAGCTACACAAAGTGGCAACATTCCATCTAAGCTTGGAACTAGTTAGACTATACTTAAAAAAGTTAAAGCTAACCGTAATTTTAAGTATATAAATATGAACTATATTTTTTTGGTGTTTTTCTTGGTTTTTAAGGGGAAGGAATGAACTTTTCTACTTTTGACCCACCACAGTAACAATCGAATACAATTACAGATCGATAGAGTTGCTACTCAAGTAAATTGGTTCACAGGAAAAAAAGTTATCTTCTAGACTTCACACACAAAATAAAAAACACATCATTGTAAAACTAATAACTTCTCAGCTAAAAAAATCATGAAATTTACCTGAAACTTTACAAACCGGAAGATCATCTGTCCAACTTCGTGTATAATGGAACATCAATTTGTTGTACTCTGGACCTCCTTCAGCTATAGTTGGCATGTTAAAAAACGTAACTAGCCGTTATTAATAAGTACTAGTATAAATTAAAATTTGTTCTAATTTCAATAACACCACGACTAAATGGAGTTTAATTTGAACCATCCCTAATTATTAGTTATAATTTGTTTTTCTATTTAACAAGAATTCATAATAATCTAGTTCAAAATATAAAAATTTATAGTGAACAATTATTCATAAATCATGACCTGCGATGATTCACAAAATAGAAATTACGAATTACTAATAGCATTGATTATTATTTAAAATCAATGCTAATAGGTATTGATTTTTATTCGTATTGTTCGTATCAACTGGGGCCAGTTCTTCCAAAAGATGACAAGAGATAAGAGTTCTTCCAAAAATTAACACAATTTTTTTATTTTATCAGCGTGACCAACCCCGAAACACCAAAATATAAAATCACATTCTATCAGTCTGCCAATTCTATCAGAATAATAAAAGTAACTAAAATATAATTAACGTTTACAGAGTTAACTGTTATCTCTAAAACCAAACGGCAATAATTAAAATTTCAAATGATAAAAAAATAAAGTCTTAAAAAATATTATACAGTAATTTTTACAATACATTTATAATGACAAAAAGCCAACTATTTAGGATTTTCCTCGTGTTAATTTGTATCATTGTCTGGGGCTGGGTTTTGTTATTTAAAGTTATAACTTATAAATAAGTGGCCTGAGTGACCTAAGTGGTAAAGTTTATGTAATTATCAACTAAGGTTTAAAATAATTTTAAACTGAATCAGTAGAACCTATTCAATAAAATAGATATTTTGTCTCGGAAAATTCTTATTAGAACTAGTACTATGAAAATCACATAAAAAAAAAATAAATAACAACTGCAAACGTTGTAACACTATTCCAAGAAGACATTTTTTTTTTGGTTTAGTTTTTGGACTTAAAGTTCTGTAAATTAGACAAATAATTAATCTAGCGTGTTCCAAATTCTAAATATTTAATAAGTTTGAATCTGTAGTAAAACTTATATCATTTAGACAAAAAACCAAAAAACCCAACAACGTAATTATGAACACAGTATTACTCATACGTAATACCTAAAGGCTATAACGATTTTTAGCATAAACTATTTTGACTGGTACTAACCGGTCGTCAGCTCGGATGATAAAAAATGGAAGGCTTCTGGAAAGCAAACCAGTTAATGCTCATTCCATAATTGTATGTATGAGAGTTGGGAGTATCCTATATACATGTAGAGAAAATTATAAATGCAACGAAAAATATTTAAAATTTGTGGTGGGTTTAAACCACCGCCAAACTCAATATTTCGTTCTTGTAATGTCTTTGAAATTATGATATAATCAGTGTTGGCAACACCCACAACAAAGCACGAAATTCATGATATGATTTTTTTTAGCGATAATGAATCTTGGGAATTGGGATGTTAAGTTTTGTATAATGTATTGTGAATTGTGATATTTAATTCATATTTTATATTTTGTGTTGCTTCTACAGGTATCATCAGTTCAACGTTTAACGAATTTTAATTTTTATAGTTAGCTAATGTTATTATAAATATTAAAAACTATAGATGGACATGTTGAATTAGCTACTTTTAAAATTTAAACGAGGCAGAGGAGTTTTTATGTTTAAGGTAAATAATCTAAAAATAGTGAATATTTATGAAAATGAGGTGGAGTCGCACCCAATAAATTATTGTCAGTTTACATAGTATATATATATATATATGAGTTGTGTTTGTAATGACCAATTGTAATTTATGGTCTTATTGTTACAGAACAATCGAATGCTATTTAGTTAGTATTGTTTTTAGATACTGACGAAACAAAATGTCTGATGACGATGACAAACCTCCAGCTCCTCCAGTTCGTCTTACAAGTAATAGGTACCTAATATATTTTATTTGCATATGAACTGCTTTATCGTTTCACAATTATATAATTAGTGTTTTTTATCTAGTTTTAGGGTAGCTCGGGGTGACTCTGTACATAATTTGGATATCATGCGACCATTACCAAAAGAACCAGATTCTGATCATAAAAAGAAAACAGCTAAGAGCCGTGTGACTGGTAAGCTAAAAACACGAGGAAATAATTGTGAAGATAAGCCAGAGATCTCGTATCCTACAAACTTTGAACATACTATGCATGTCGGTTTTGATGCCCATACTGGAGAATTCACTGTAAGTATTTGTTATCTAAGTATATTTTGCATTGAAATAAAATATTCAGTAAGAAAGGCAAATATTTATCGCTAATACATGCTTTTGCTATGTAGGTAGCCATAATGAACAAAAATGAATGTTATAATCAAAATAAAAAATGATTGTAGAACATAGATAAAATTTAAATATTCACACTATAAAATATACTTTATAACACTATATATAATATAAACTATATAATTATTAGTTGTGTTAGTATTTAATTCAACTTTTCTTTTAAAATAAACATAATCGATTGATTATCTAATAGTATATGCGTTATGCATAAGTAATATATTTCAGAAATTAATTTGTTTTTTGTTATCAAATTGTGAGAACTTAAATATACTTGTAATATATTTTCCAGTAATAGTTGATTTACAATCACCAAAAATAATGTTCATTTCCTAGTAGTAATAATTACCTTATAATATTTATAATGTGTCTAATGTCTTTAAGGTGAATTATTTAAATTCACAAATTAAACATATATGCACATTATTTACCAAAATTATATCTTTTTTCTTATATAACTTTTAATTAACTGCTTTATAAAGTAAATTACACACTGCAAATCGCAATACTGTAGAGTAAATTTAAATTTTAAATTAATATATTTTGTAAGACGATTTTTTTAGAGTTTTGTGTTATTGTTTTTGTTTCAAGCTGCCATATAAAGTGAGTAAAATGAACAGCTTGTGAGTAGCCTAGATATATGTGATGAGTTTGGCTTTCTTAGATTAAGCTCACAATCACGTTGCTTAAAATAAATAATATAGAAATATATAGTTATACATTATTACTTATATATTTCAGTAATTTTCTATAATCTTGTAGATATTAAAAATAGTATTATTTTAAACAATTGGGATTTAATTAATACAATATCATTTTACTATAATTTTATAGTCTATAATTTCTCAGTACGTTTAGAATTTAGATAATTGTGATAGATGTTATATTATAATTTAATACAGTGGCATAATATGGTAAACAATGTTATTGTTGCAAATGTTTGGTCTGTACCACCATGATTCTAGGGTACTACAATTTTTACCTACTTCAATAGTGTCAATATATAAAATCTGTTAAAAATGGGAAAAGTATTATGTCTCTTACTTTTTACTTCGTAAAAATAATCTAATATTTCTTTTTCATTATAAAATTTTGGATAATATTTGTATGTACACATTTTTTTCTAAATAAGTTAATATTAGTGTAACTTTATTTAAGCAAAAACTTTGGGTGGGATCTCCCATGTTTACGTAATTTTAAAGTATACAGAAAATAAAGAGTACAAGTTTATTTTATCAAAATTTAGTTTTTAAATTTAAGTTTTTTTTTTATTTCCCCCTACACAATTCATTAGATCTTTGAATATTTTTTATCTGGTATTTACTTATACTGAGTTGCAAAACTAAGTAATGTTTTGCAACTCTTAAAATATTTGCTTCCGCTATTGAAATGTTTTAATCAAGTCACTGTCTTAAAATAAGTTTTTAACTAATGTGTTTTACTTTTATTAGTGGTCAAGGTTGAAATAAAATGTTTAATTATAATATTTACAACTTGAAGTTATAAATGTTTTAATTAAAAGAAACATAGTTATAATCTTGGTTTCAAATTTAAGCTAACTAATAATTACCTTGCATCTATTTTGATTCCCAGTGTATTTAAATTAGATCATAGTGGGGTCATTCCACGTGAAATCACCTAATGGGTGTGCGACTATACTTCAAAAATGTTTGAAATTTTTATCATTCATTCTTTATAGGTCCTTAATAACAAAAACATTAAAAAACAATTTTTAAAATTTTTTTTTAGACTTAGGTAGGTCAATTTTTAAAAAGAATTATCCAAAAACATGTTCCCGACTTTGTAATTTAACCGCCGATAGTGGTATAGACACGAAACCTGCATAGTTAAAATACTAATTAAGTGTATTTTAATCGTATTTTAAGAAAATTAATTTTTTTTTAATTTTTGAATGTTTCAAAAACATTTTTTGAGGTCAAAAAGTTAAAAATTAAAAAAAAATATTTTGTTTATATAAAATTTAAGATATGTTCTTATGATCCATATCATCTTTGAACCAATTAAGTTTTTTTTGCTATTAATTTAAGGCTTCAAATATAGGTATTCTTCTGAAAACTACCTATTTTAATGACCCACAACACCAATGTGACAGAATGAAAATTTTCCAAATTTATGCATACTTACTTATAAGTGAGTAGAACATCTGGTAAAAGTTTGGTGATTCTAACATCAGTGGTAAAGGTCAAAATGTAAATTATGTATATTTCCAATAAGTGTAAATCGTAAAATTTGATCGCTTATCACTAATGTTAGAATAATTTCTCCATCACCAAACTTTTACCAGATGTTCTACTTACTTATATGTAAGTATTGCATAAATTTGGAAAATTTTTGTTCAGTCACATTGGTGTTGTGGGTCATTAAAATAGGTAGTTTTCAGCAAAATACCCATGTTTGAAGCCGTAAATTAATAGCAAAGAAAAAACTTAATTGGTTCAAAGATGATATGGATCATAAGAACATAACTTAAATTTTATATAAACAAAATATTTTTTTTTAATTTTTAACTTTTTGACCCCAAAAAATGTTTTTGAAACATACAAAAATTAAAAAAAAATAAAAAAATTTCTAGGGTTAAAAAATAAAAAAAAATTAATTTTCTTAAAATACGATTAAAGTACACTTAATTAGTATTTTAACTATGCAGGTTTCATGTCTATACCACTATCGGCGGTTAAATTACAAAGTCGGGAACATGAGGTGTTTTTGGATAATTCTTTTTAAAAATTGACCTACCTAAGTCTAAAAAAAAATTTTAAAAATTGTTTTTTAATGTTTTTTGTTATTAAGGACCTATAAAGAATGAATGATAAAAATTTCAAACATTTTTGAAGTATAGTCGCACACCCATTAGGTGATTTCACGTGGAATGACCCAGTGTTAAACATCTCATTTGATTTAAATAAATATTTTAAAAATAAATCTATTAAAAACAACTTAATTGTATTAAAATTAATTGCACGCATTATTTATCAGGTATTAGGTTTCTAAGATCATATTATTTTATAAAATTGTTTTATGGTTTGTATAGAGACATTACAAGGTAGATTATCTAAATAATATTTTGTAAAAAATTAGTATTTTAAAAATTCTTCAATAATTCATAACTGAAGAGGTGAGTGGATTAAGGTGTTAAGTGGCAATTTATGTAAAAAGTTTTTTGTTTGAATAGTTATAAAAATAGTTTGAATGATTGAATGTGTTAAGTTATATTACACATTTTAGCAAAATATTATAACAGTTGAATGTGTGTTGAAAATGTGCTTAAAAATTTAAAAAATTCTAAGCATTTGAATATATTATATTGATTAAAATGTTGCCTCCTGAAGAGTTTTGAAATTGTCAGTTAACACTATTATCCACTCACACCTTCAACTATTTGATTCGTTTTGTGATATTTTTATATTTCAATACTATTATGTATGTAGGTTTGTTTCATAAACGGTAATCGAATAATGATAAATATTGAAACATTAAATGATGGTTTGTGATTATGTAGGGTATGCCAGAAGCATGGGCTCGTTTGTTGATTACATCCAATATTAGTAAACAAGAGCAAAAGAAGAATCCTCAAGCAGTTCTTGATGTTTTAAACTGGTTTGACAATTCCAGTAAACAATCCAAAACTTCCAAGTATATGACAACTACTACACATATCGGTAATTATTATTTGTTAAATGTCAAATTAAAAATAGCAATAATTTCAAGTAATCACTAAGTATAAAATGTATTTCTAATTTTTAGTGCAAAATAATATAACCCATCCTCCAGAAGTATTAGTGCGTGGTGCACATAGTGGAGGTAGTTCATCATATTCTGGGGTTAGTAGTAGCCAGCCATCTTCTTCAACAGGCAGTACTAGTCCATCACTTACTACCACTCCGACAACTGACGAACAAACATCTCCTCCTCCACCAGTAGCTATACGTCCTGAACGTACTAAATCAGTGTATACAAAACCAATTGAAGAAGATGAGCCCAGATCAATTACTCAAGAAGAACCTAAAGTTGTTTCTCCAGTTCCGTTGCATAGACCTAGTCAAACTAATGGAACTGCCCCAATACTGGATAAAAATAAAAATAATACCACCAGTAATAGTCGCAAAAAAATTGCTGACAATGAAATATTAGAGCAGTTAAAAACTATTGTAACTGTAGGCGATCCTAATAGGAAATACACCAAAATGGAAAAAATCGGGCAAGGGTAATTCAATCATATGTCAATGATTATATAATATACTTTACTATATGTAATAAATTAATTTTTCAGAGCGTCCGGTACAGTGTACACTGCAATTGAAACTTCAACTGGAATGGAAGTTGCCATAAAACAAATGAATTTAGGACAGCAACCAAAAAAAGAGCTTATTATTAATGAAATACTAGTCATGCGAGAAAATAAACATGCAAATGTTGTAAATTATTTGGATAGTTATCTAGTTCAGGATGAACTTTGGGTAAGTAGTTGACGACTAGGTTTTATTTATCTAATTATAAAGAAATTGTGCTTATTGAATCTCATTAAATTTTGTTTATTAAATCTCATAAGATATTCAGTTTTGAAGCTGGCATAGTTAGTTTTGTTTATACTGTATAGTGTATAATTAGTACACTGATAATAATAATTTATATTTTCTATTATAAACTAGTCGCAGCTGTTTTGGCGCATATATATTAAATTCAACTAATTTATATGGGTAGGTAGGCCATATATAACTCAGAGGCCCAAAATGCCGCTTAATCTTATCTACCTAGTAACAATACATTTTTTAAATGTTATTTTCTTAAAATTGTTTAGCTCATTTGATGTTTGTTAGCTCAAGTATTACTGCACTGTGTATACTATATATACTAGAGTTTTTATGTTAACAATTACTAATAAGTAATGTTAAGTAACAAAATAATAAAATATTAAAAAAATAGTAAACTTCAGTAGTAGCACACTGCTGAAAAGAATATTATTTTTTGTGGTGAAGGGTATTTTAAATATTTTTTTGTTTTATTACTTAACTTTATATAACCATAAGTGTTGCTCCCATTTTTCTAGATTAATGAGTAATGGCTAATGCGTTATATTATGTTGATAACCATTCATTTTTATTTTATAATTCAGGTTGTCATGGAATATTTACCTGGTGGCAGTTTGACAGATGTTGTTACAGAAACTTGTATGGATGAAGGTCAGATTGCGTCTGTTTGTCGGGAAGTACTCCAAGCACTTCAATTTTTACATTTTAATCAAGTTATACACAGAGACATTAAGTCTGATAATATTTTACTTGGTCTGGATGGTAGTGTAAAATTGAGTATGTTTCATTTTATTATGTTTAATTTAACAGTCTTGACAATAAGTAATGTATCTATTTTATGTTTTTTTTTATCTAGCTGACTTTGGTTTTTGCGCTCAAATTTCACCAGAACAGTCTAAACGCACTACAATGGTAGGAACACCTTATTGGATGGCTCCAGAAGTTGTTACACGTAAGCAGTATGGACCTAAAGTTGACATTTGGTCATTGGGTATAATGGCAATTGAAATGATTGAAGGAGAGCCGCCATATTTGAATGAAAATCCTTTAAGGGTATGAAAAATATTATTATGCATAATTTTTTAGTGTTAATAAAAAAAAACTATTGATTTCAGGCATTATATTTAATAGCAACTAATGGTAAACCAGAAATAAAAGAGAAAGAAAAACTTACTCCCATATTTCAAGACTTTTTAGACCAGTGCCTTGAAGTAGAAGTTGAAGATAGAGCTTCAGCTTCAGAACTTTTAAAAGTAAGTTAATATATAAGTAGTAATAAAACTTTTTTAAATATGTTTTTTAATTTAATATTAGTTGTAAGTGTCTCACTCTACTCTGAATAACAATTTATTATATATTTACTGTTTAGATATTTAGATTTTCACTTAAATTTTGTATTTGTTTTAAATAAATACTAATCATAGAGTAATGAGTAATATACAAGGCGCTTAGAACACAAGGGGTATAAGTGACATTTTTACACAATCTCAGTTAAATCCACAGCTAAACTACAAATTGTCCATTTTATTTGGTGGTAAAGATATATAAGTGAATTATTTATCATATGCTGCAATCTGGTAGTAAATCAAGGTACCCCCGAACGAAAACGCCATTTGGGTGTAAACTTAGAGCTTGATTTTTTTCAAAATCAATAAAATGTCACTTATACCCATGATTGAACTAAACAAGGTTGTTGCAATATACCCCTTCCTCATCAAATTTTCGATGAAAAAATCAAATATGTCAACGTAACGGCACCCAATCAAAATCAAGTATATAAGTACACGGTGAAATATATAGTAATAGTAAAGTATATATAGTAAAATTGATATCCAGTTATGCTGTCATTTTATTTTTAAAGATAACAATTTGAGACGATGTGCAATAATCTGTATATTTAACCCATGCTTATACCCCCTGTATTCTAGGCACCTCTTATAATAATATTACATAATTGATAACTAATATACTCTATTCAGGTCAAGAACTTTTCAGCAATTAAACCAAAATAAGAGTAATGTTTTGGTTTTGGCACACTACGGTTCTTAACTTGAAAAGAGTATAGAATCCTTTTAGTAATGATAAACAAATATTTACCAACTTTTCTTTAACTCCTGTACACAGCAGTAATAATATTAGTATTAATAATATAATGATATACATTATAATAATAAGGCATACAATTTTGACATTTACCTCTTAAAATGTTGTTTATATATTAATTAGCTTAAATATTCTATTGTTACTATTCATCAAAAAGTAGCATGAGTTAATATGTTACAAAATATGAGAAAAAATGACTTTTTTCTGATTTCTAAAATTTAGTTATTAATGCGTTTGGTTTCCTCAGTAATAGTTGAAAATGTTTTTTTTATATTTACAAAAGTCTCAAGTTATGTTTTTCATATATTACTCTGTGACAATTGTGAATGTTTAACCCTAAATTTCTAGCGTAAAATCCTGACTAAGGAAGAAGTAGTTATTAATGTTTATCCTTTCTTTGTAAACATGTATCCTTAGACCATAAAAACTGGTAATTTATTTGTAAAATATCTAAATATTATTTTTTTTAATACAAGAACACCCCTTCCCACTTAAGTAAATTTCAAACAATAAAAAAAATATTAATATATTTATATTTTAATAAAATAAAATATAATCTTTAATGAATGGGGCTGTTAAACATATTTATAAAACTAGTAAACTAAATTATAATCTTTATTTATTACTGTTTGACATATTATTAAGACGAAAAAGTAAAATTTTATAGTATATTTTTATAAATAATATTAAATAAATGCACAGATTATATACTAACAACCTAAATAGTCGATTTTTATATTTTTCTTAAATTTTGTGTGTACATGCATAGTCAGTTGTCTAGGTTAATAAGTAAATTAAAATATATAAAAATGGACTTGTCCTCTTTCTGCAGTTTGGGATTCAATTATAAAGTAAGCAAACGTCAGCAGCTATATTGAACTAAGTAATCCTAATCATAAAATTAAAAAACAAAAATTATCTAGTTTTGCAACAGAAACAAAAAATTAATTAATTTGTTTCATTCTACCATAAAACGGAACATAATATCGCCACCCCAGTAGAACAATGACACAGCTGTAAGTTACGCATTACAGTTATGTCGTTTATCTACCTTATGCGTTGGCTTTATCTAAACACATTGAAGCATTTAGTTGATTTATACCTAATTTTGCAGTTGCGTCATTGTTCTACTGGGGCGGCGATATCATATTCCTACATGAATACATTATTTAAAGTAACATTTTCAATCCCTGCTGTACATAATAAGTAGTTAGAGAGGTTTTTCCTAATAACAATATTACTAAAAATAATTGTTAATTTTGTCAATGTAATATCCGGCTCAAATACCAAAGTTGTAAACATTATTAATGTTCTACACTATGAACAAATGGCTAAATAAGCCAAAAACACAGTTTGTTATGCAAACTAATGGTTTAGCCGTTCCAACCCTACTTAGTCTTTTGTAATTTTATAGATTTTATGTAATAGATTTCAAATCAATTAGTACTATAAGAATAATAAATATTGAGTGTTAAAAAAATAAATTTACTGGTACTATCCAGTAAATAACTTATTTTAATAAACAACTGTTGTGTTAATAGCTATAATTAACAAACCCATTATTCCCATGACTGAAATTTCTTCTTGTTAAATTCATGAAATAATTATTAGCAAATATCACGTAGTGAGTTGAATACCTATAAACGTGTGTATTTAAGTTTACTGACTTAGCTGATAACCTTTAGCCTATCTTCGTTTTTTGAATGTTTATAATCATCAAGTTACACTAATTGATAAATATGTGTTGGTTGATACTTATATATTTTTACCTCTGCATAGGAAATATTTTGTATTACAATTAAAAATAATAATCTATAGAGTGGCATTGACAGATGCTAATATTCTACAAATGTTTTGATAAGTATTTTTTAATTTTAATTTTACTAAACTCTAAAATAAATCTCCAATTTTAACTATATTTTAAAGAGAATTATGTATTAGTTATAAAAGAAATTGTTTTGTACTCATAGGTTCATTATTTTAACAAATTATTTTATTTATAACTAACTTGTATACATACTAATATATTTTAATATTTTTACAGCACCCATTTTTAAAACTCTCTAGACCTTTAGCCAGCCTGACACCTTTGATAATGGCTGCAAAACAAGCTGCAAAAGGTCATTGATATTGTTGAATTGAAAAGTATACAATTGGTTGTCTGTTAATAGATCAGCCACCATATAACTCCATAAAAACAATGAATCTGTCAGCTTCGTTGGCCATATATTACTATTTATAATTATGTAACAATTATTAACAATTATTATTATTATTATTATTATTATTATTGATATTATTAGTTAAAATCAGAAATAATATTTAAATATATTCTGTTTTTTACATATCTACAGCCATTGGTGCTTCTTCTTCTTCTCTTTCTAATACAATATGAACAGTAATTGTATAGACATTTTTTTGTTGAAGAATATAATAATGAATTTTATCAAACTACATATTTGATATGGCATTATTTTTGGCATACAAAAATATCTAAAATATTCAGTAAATCAATATAATTAAACTATTATTATTTATTTTTTTAGCCATTGTTTGTGAGTTTTATTTATTATTTATTTTAGTTGTTACATTAATAGTATTTAATATTTTTTTTATTATTTGTCTTCTAATCAAAGCTTTATTGTATACTCCGTACTGAATTATTTTTACATAATATATTTTAGATTTATTGGATTTTTAATGATGCTTTTTTTGTACATTTATATATATAGTCGGCTAGTATGACGTGTTAGTATTTTAACATAAAATTTAAATGGGCGTTTGATAACAGGAGGACATTAAGAGTGATATAATCATAACTGCAGATGTATGAACTCTGTGTATATCTTAAATATATTTTAAGCTATGTCGGTTACATACAGTATTGCTCAATAGGTCAAAAGCGAACTGCCATTTAGATTATAAATATTTCATGAATGTACCAATTGTTAGACAGCTGGAACGAGAGAAAAAGTTCATTATACATCCATTACTTGTACACTATATCACTGCAGTCTAAAGTTTCAAACAAATTATTTTTTATTGATTCATTCAATTGTTTTCAATTTCTATTTATTGAAGGTATTCATCATAATTGCATTGTTGTAAACAACATGTTATTCTGAAACAACCCAATTTCTCTATTTTTTTTTCAACAATCATTGCATCTTGTTGGTACTCAAATTAAAATATAAAAATTAATGTTTTTTCTTGCTCACATTTGCACTGGAGTATAGAATAATATAATATACATGTTAAATAAATTATTATACTATAAATTCAAACTCGCGGTTTACTTAATTATAATATATTTACTATTTGAAAAACAAATTTTGAATTAATTTTTCGCATTTAAAATTTAAAATAATGATTTAAGGGTATTTATTATTTCATTTTGTTTTGTGCAGTTAATAAATAAAACAAACTATAAACGCCTGTAAGGCTCAAACAATCGCATCTTCAATTTAAAAAATGCAAATTATGTTATATTAATAGAAGAAAAATGAGAACATATTGACTTAGGTAGCTCGGACATTGGGGTGTAGAAAGCAAAGACAATTTTTGAAATCGTTTTCATAATACAAAAGTAAAGTCTTGATGAAGGTATACAAACCTAAAGTTGTTTTATAATCGATATTTTTTTTTAAATTTGATTTTTATACAAAATAAACTAGTCCACAGTACAAAATAGCTTACTTTTTAAAACAACTTTATTATTTACTTAAAAATGAAGTCTGATTTAAACATTTTTTTTTACATATTTTTAATTTTTTGCGATTATAAAAAGGCTTAAAATAAATGAATATGTGTATATTACGCAGTTTATTATTTCTTACAAGACTATATTTTTTTAATTTTTGTAGTATATAAAGTTTTTGAGTTATGAACGAAAATCTAAATAATTTTACTGATTATTATTTTCTTTGACTTGGGACGGACGAATTATTTTTAAACTTTTTTATTACTTCATGTTTGTAATTACTAAGACACTTCTTTTACAAGGTATTGTAAAACCCATTTCAAAAATTGTACTTTTTCACTACCCCCTGTTGAAAGAACATCTGTGCCATAATTAGCCTAATGGCATTTGGGGCACGAGCCTAGAGCCCTCGGCCTAAAGGGAGCCCCGAATAATACAATTTACATCTTTACGTTTTTTTTGTTTTTTTTAAAGGCTCACTCGTGTGCCCAAGGGTCCCTACATATCCTAAGGCGGCCCTGAAGAACATATTAAAACATAGTGAAAGAAGGGAGAAAAATTAATAATTCAACGAGTTAGAGAAATTAGCGTAGATGACTTTTAAAGTTAGGGTAGCTTGTAGACTGAAGAAAAAGTGAAAGGATATTTATGAATAAAGGTATGGAGTAGATAGAAACTTGTGATTGACTAAACCTTTTGGCCATTTAAATGGGATGTTTACATGATATACGATTATGGACTATATGGTAAAGTTCATAATCATACAAATAGGTATAATCATACAAATTTTATACAGTCCATAATCCCCTTCGAATAAAAATCATGTGTGTGAAACTATTGCGCTGGTTAGATAGGTGGGTAACTCAACAGATTATTATGGAGTTCCTGTTATAAATCTTAGGTCTTGTACTATTTTTTTAATTTGTTTTTTTTCTCTTAAGCTTAAATGGCTATAATAAGCACAATGCATAAACGATGTTACATATTATAATTTATTGACTAGTTTTTTTGTTTACTTTCGATGGTTTAGGTTCAGTGACATTAGGTTTGAAGGTTGTTTTTTTTTTGGATGGGAGAAAGGCTTAAGTCTCGACGTAATATAAACTAAAAGTGATCCACAGGAGCTCGTTGAAGAATGTTTAGGGGGTTCTCACATAAGCGTACTGCGTAGCCCACATATCTCATTTGCACCACTAGTTATAGTTTTAATTGTATCTGTAACAATTATTGAATAAATGGCCTTTATCTTAATATTATTCAGAAGAGTGCTCGTTTGTCGCAGACGATTAGACGCACGTTTAGCGAAAAACAAAGCGGAAGCTGTTCCAACTACGAGTATGATTATTGTTATTGGCGGCGGTAGCGGCTGCTTGGCTTTGTGTGTGGTATGTTGTTTAACTAATATCGGAATTGGATGATGATAAATTAAAAAAACAACTCCGGTGTAGGACATATTACAATATAACTATACATTTAATTGATAATGCTGCGGCGGATCTGTTGATGAGATTATATTGGCGCGGACCGCCGCACTGATTAGACGTCTGCTGCAGCTGGATCACGGACGGCCGGACGCGCGCCCAGTCGTCTTAGCTGCACATGGACCCCGTGAAACTTGCCGTCGCGCTGTTATGCGCTTTGCTAGCCGTGTCCACCGTAGTCGAGTCGGCACGACGCCGGAAACCTGTCAAAATCCGGTTACGCAGGCCGATGGCTGATCAACCAAACCCTCAAAACGCCACAGTCAACGAGGACTACGACGACTACGGGGACGAAAATGAAGACAAACAACCGGATAGTAAAGTTTTTTCTGAATAAATCCAATAAGGCCCTATAAAACCCACGTTTTAAGTAATTGCCCAAAAATTGTTGGGCTTAAATCTAGCCGTTAGAATTTTTTGAACGGGGTGTTCGTTTGCTAACTATTTACTTACTCGCTCTTGTCTCGGGATCTAGTAGATCAGTGACTATCGTCGCCGCCTTTCTCTCGCTTTTCCCTAATTTCGCTACTGCTTCCACCTTACACTACCGATTAGTATGCAAATATCATTGATTCTTGGAACAAGAAAACAATATTTTATTTTAATTTGTAAATTAAATGCATTTACGATGAAATGCGTAAACATTCATTAATTGTTTAATGAATCAATAGAAATGTATTGGTTCCTTAAACGGCATTTAGTGACCCATGATTGATGAATTTTAATAAATCATTAATTTTTTAATTTTTTGTGCAACCCGGCATAAGTATACTGCAACATTTATTTTAGACAGCATACAATTATTGTACCTATATAAAAATACATAATGTGTCAGTTGTTTCTTATAAGGAAAAGACAAGCAATTATTATAAAATAATTAATATTGAAGCGCTCTAGTTTAGAACTGAATCAGAGTAACATTATTGCTAAAACAATTGTACTCACTTAACACTACCTAAGTTTATTAAACATTTAAACACGTAAATTCATATTTTAATTAAAAGGCGTTATTATAACACTATTAATATATATTTTTATAACTATAATGAAATAATATAATTTTTTTACCATATTTATTTCTTGATTTAATATTTTATGTAAAAATATTAGTATAACATTTTAGGTTTAAAAACGGTTATGACATTCCCACTTAAAAGTCATAATTTTTCTTTTTCAAAACATATTATATTATATTTACTATAGCTACCCGTGTTTGTTTTCTACTCTGCTTTGTCCAGGTTAATAAATAGATGCTAAGAAAATTTGGTTAGTAACACTACACACACACGAGCATGCGCGATAACAATAGCAAGATGTGTTTACATTTTAAAAGGTGCGAAAACGTACTTGGCAACTCAGATAGAGGTGTAGTAGAACGCGGCACGATTGCTACGTAAAAACAAAATTCTTTAGTCTTAAATATGGATAGTCCACGATTAAACAATTATTAGCTTATACATTGGGTACAGACAAAAAGGGATGTCCTAATAACTAAAGCCAAAATTGCACTTGAATTTATTATAATTTTTTTTTTAGGCGTGTTACATAGAAAATCATTGTTGACATTGCATCAAGGCCGTGAGCCATCGTCTACTGCAAGGGCGCCGGCCGAAGATTATCCCACGGAACCGGATAGGCCTGACGAGGACCCCGAAGAGCCGGAAGAGGATCACGAGATACCGGGAGCAGCGGGTGGTCGACTTGTAGAAGAAGCAAAAGTACCTGAAACGTCTAACACTACGGATGCAGATCGAGTAGACAATCGACTAAAAACGACAGAAAGATATGACGAGCGGTCTGAGAATCAGCCGGAAACAACAGAGAGATCCGATGAGACTCCGGAGAGTGCATCGGAAAAGACAGACAGTCCGGAAGAACGGCCGGTCAAGCCATATCTCACAGAGAGTCCTATAGAACGTCAGGAAATAATCAAAGAGGCAGCCATAAATACTTATGAAATCACAGAACCACCGGAAGACCTCGACGGATCCGTCGTTCGACCAGAAGCGAAAGATAACGAAATTGTAAAAGGGTTTCCTAAAAAACAGAACGTGTACGTTCCTCCATTTCCGGTAGAAGAGTATACCACGGAATCACTCTTAAGTAACACCTCGGGTTATGGACAACAATCGGAGGTAAAAATTAAGAGCGAGAGGCCAGCTGAGTACAATGTCACTGAGAGTTCTAAAAACGATTTAGACGAAGTATCGAGTAAGTTAATAGGTATGCCATATAAAATGCAAAAGTAAAAACACTTTATTTTTTTAATAATCTAGAATTTTCAAATAATTATTTTGGATCAGTTTACCCGTTTTAATGATAATTCTATAATTTTTTTAATTTTTATTATGAAAAATAAGGGTTTTTATTTTTGCAAAAGACATATTATTCTTTATTGATACCGTGAATAAAAGTATTTAATGTATCATGTGTTTAACAGGTACGCATATTTCCACATTCTACGCTCCCCAGACAACCCGGGTAAACATAATTAATGAACTTAGATAATCACTTATCAGTTCACTAAATATTGTTAATTAATTAGCATCTGTGATCTGGATTCCTATAAATTATCATATTCCATAAAATAAAGAATTTTTAAAATCAACAATTTACAAAATTACGAAAAAAATAGGTACGTTATTAGTAAACGATTTTGTATGACATATTAAGAAGAGAACTTTGCAGGAATTATCACGCAGTTACTTATTTTTTAGTTACATCACTATCATAAAAACAAAATCGGTTAAACCAAATTTTGGAGATTTTTTTTCTTAATAATACACAACGTTATTATTAAAAAATCTACGCATTTTATTTAACAATAAGTGTAAATGAAGATTAAAGTTTTGGCTGCGGAATAACTTGATTGAAGAAACCATCTATTGGTGGAACTTCGGCGTGGGTGGTTGGGTTTTTGTAAATTAGAAGGTCACGGCACTAAATAAGTTTTAAATGCCATCAGAGTTCAGGATAATCAGGATAGTAGCGGATAATAGATTAATTATGAGAGGGATGTTAGTGGATAAGATAACGAACATTTTAAGAGAACATTTTTTTAAAAAATATATATTGATAATATATAAAATTAGTATGGCCTCATGAAGTGCGATAGTTAAATTAAATTATTATTTGGTACATATTTTATGTTTATATTTAAGCATAAAATTACATTTTCACAATTGAGATACAATGTATTGTAAACAAATATTTGAAATGATTCAGAAACATATACAAAGTGAATTAGCAAATTTTACTACAATATGTTTCCAAGAATCACCAATAAACATTTATGATTTTTTTTTATTCAAAACTATATAGGGTCCACCTGGTTTACAAGGTGAACGTGGAAAGCAAGGACTAGACGGAGAAAGAGGTATACCGGGTACACCAGGAGTTCCAGGTAATTGGCATTGATAATATGATGAAGTACAAATAAAAATAAGAAAAAAAAATATATATGTTGTCAAAAATGAGCACAAATATAGTAGTAGCGAAATGATAATAAATTCCATAAGAAATTTGAAATACAAAAACTATATTGTACACATTTTTACCTTTTTATCTTAATAAAAAACAATGTAATTTTTTCCTCTAGCAAATCGGAATGTGCATGATACAAATCTTTTATTTTTATTACCAACTAAAAAAATAGTTAACCTATATTATATAATACATTGACGTGGACATGTCTGGCAAATCACGTGCCAAATTATAAAAGGGAAAAAACTTAAAAATATTTACAGCATTCTTATAATATATTTACATAAATTTGCGTAAATACGAAAAAACAAAAAAAGCGATTGATGAGATGACGGGACAATATTATACATATTATGTATATACATTCGTGTTAACGTATGTAAAAGTTTTAAACCATAATCCAAACTAAATACTAGTGGTGGGACTATTCGAATAAAAAAAATTCGAATATTCGAATTTTTTATTAGAATATTCGATGGGTTATTCGAATATTCGATCTGATTTTTCGAATATTCGAATATTTTATCATTTTCTTTGCAGGATTAATTAGATTAAAAAAAATAATAATTCAGAGACAACTAAGGTGTTCTTGATCTATTTTTACTATTCGAATATTCGAATTATTTTCATACGAATAGTATTATTCGATTATTCGAATAATTCGAATAATAGAAAAATTCGATTCGAGGTCTCAGCTTTACTAAATACAGACCATCTTGCAAAGAAAATTTTGGGTGAATAAATTAAAAAGCATAATATTATGGTTTATCTATGAAAATAAAATTGTTTAAAATATGGGGCATAAATGGAATATTCAGTAAGAGTAATTTTGGGCACGTTCGAGAGTTTATCTTTTTAAAATTCAGTTAATTTAAATTAGACAACTTAAACATTTTTCCATTTTTATTGGTTAATTGTCTTGTTTGATCAGGAATGCCTGGACCTCCAGGTCCCGTTCCGGACGTCAATACCTATTACCAGCAACTAGCTCAAGTACACGGAGGTCAAGATAAGGGACCCACGGTCAATGGGTATCCTCCAGAACCGTTTCATACTATGCAAGCCCAAGTCGGTCCAATGGGAGTGAGAGGACCTCCAGGATCTCCTGGCCCTCCTGGTCCCCAAGGATTCCAAGTAAGTTTTTCTATAGTATTATAAATCAGAAGCAGGGAGAATGGTAATGAAGAAACGTAGAAAAACGAAAAAGGAAGACCGATAAAAGGAGGTTGGGTGCGATCAGTGGCGTTTTTAGTTAGTTTTGTTATAAAAAGAAAAATACATAGAACATAAAGAATATATAATCAAATATTGTGAGTAAACATCTTTAATTTAAGTGTTTAGTGGTCAGCATCTAAGGAGGGAAGAGGGTGGCTTAGATTGAGAGTCAAAAAGAGTCTACGAATATAGAAATTATGGACACCGCTCAGTACAAAAAAAATTGGACAACCCCCAAAATTCTGTTAAAAATTCGCCACTGGATGCGATTGAGAATAATATGAGAACGGCTGATGTATATGAAGATGATTTGAGAGATCGCATCGAGTGGAGTTTAAGACAAAAGTGACCGACCTCAAATAGTTGGGATGCCGGCGAAGGAGAAAAAGTTTCCATGCTATAAATTTCATTGGTTTAAAAAATGTTGATTACCAACGAACAGCATTTCAGTATATAGATAACATTTGTTACAATAATATAAATTAAGATTTATAATATTCTATAACATTATATTTTTCAGGGACCACGTGGAGAAACAGGAGACATAGGCTCGCCAGGGCAACCGGGCCCAGTTGGGCCTAGAGGTATTCCGGGGTTACCAGGTAGAGATGTAAGTAATGTAGTAATTAATTTTATATGAATTTAAAAATACTTGCCTAAGATAAAAAGATTTATAATTTTATAATTATTTATTTATTAAAATATACGGACAATAAGATTTGATTCTATATTTTGTTCTCATAGGGAGAACGAGGTCATGACGCGGAGCCAGGACAACCAGGTGCTGTTGGTCCAGCTGGTCCAAGAGGTTTGCCAGGAATGCCAGGTTTACCAGGTATAAAGGTTAGTAATAATGAGTAATGAGTATTAACTTTATTTATTATTTTAAACCAAAATTGACTTAGGTTAGTTAAACTGTATGTTTATATTTGTTATTACTAAGTTGTAATCGGTTATGAATTAATTCGAACACTTACTTTAATTTCAATACATACAGGGTGTAATGTAAAGTTCTACCGAGCTTCAAATGAGACATTCAGAATGTTCTATGGGTACAATAAATAGTACAATCAATTCAACAAGATTTTTTCTCCCGATTTCCCATCTGAAATTATTTTTTTCGTAAGAAAATTGTTTAATGAGACACGAGTTCTATTTTAAATAATTTTAAAATTAAAAAAAAAATAGTACCATTTATTGTACCCATAGAGCATCCTGAATGTCTCATTTGAAGCTCGGTAGAACTTTATATTACACCCTGTATATATATATATATATATATAAATATATGTATATAGGGTCATCGTGGATATCCTGGAGTAGATGGGGCTAAAGGTGAACAAGGTCAGTAAACATATCATTTACATTAATTAATTAATTAATTTTATTCATTTGAATAAAATATTTAGTTCATAATTAGTTAATTACAGAAGTATATTTATATACATCAATAATTATAAACTAATAAATGGAGTGTATTATATTTTTATCCTTAAAAAGGGTGTCTGCAATCATATGGTACATGGGCCTTCTGGGGCCCGTGGAATATGGTTAACTTGTTATATTTGTATGTAATATCTTTAAAATATATGGATAACATTTAAATTTTCCTTTAAATAAATTATATTGAAAAAAAAAATGTTCGAATATTATTTATAATTTAAGGATCGGTTGGCGAAAAAGGTTCTATTGGATCTCCAGGCCAACCTGGAATTACTGGTTCAGTTGTAAGTAAAATTATAAAATACCTATTATATTTGAAATGTTTAAGCATGATAATGAGAATAATGAAATTTTAATTATTTTTGTATTTATTTTTAATTAATTTTAACATTATAATAAATTTTAATTGATTAAGGGTCCAATTGGTCCTAGAGGAGAACGAGGTAGAGAAGGACCTCCTGGGCCGGCCGGTATACGAGGTATGTACTATTTTTTGTAGGTTCGAATGCACTCTCCTTCAATACAAATAATAAACGAATATGTTTATCAATATACAAATGTAAATATGCATGTATAATGTTTTAGGTGCTGATGGGACTCCTGGTGCAATTGGACCACCGGGAAATATTGGGAAACCTGGTCCACCTGGATTTCCTGGATCGGTATGTTGTATAATGTATAATTTTTCTCCTTTATTTTATGTCATTTATAGGCATATCGCCACCTCCATAAAACCTTTCCAGACTTTTTACTATAAGTTAGTGCTTTTCCATTTTTCAAGCCAAGAATAATTTGAGTCTTCCATGATTTGAACCTCTCATCGTTGTACTAAATGTGTTGTCATTCGTATCATAGCATAGTTTATTAATCTTTTGACGTTTCATGTACAATTTTAGAGCCAATTGTCGGCGTGTCGTGGGTAAAAATTGATTCTTGGCCTGTTTTAGCATTAAAATCTCTAAGTAATATTGTAAATTAACTATTTGTTAATAACTCTAATAAGTTAACCACTGTGTTTAGTCTTTCATAATACTGATAATTTTTTTTCAGTGAGAAAGTGATGCGTAAGTTTATTTAAATTTGACCTTTTACACTCTATTTTGATACAGCACATATTGTGCCATTAACCGCTTCAACATGTTTAATATTAGCCAACAGTATATCACTTACGACAAAACCAACAATTACCCAAAGATCTGGATCACCAATGTGTGACTAATCAAGAATAAAATCACTCTCTTTTTAGTCTTTAGGTACAGATACAGGTACCCTTGCAGGATTAACAGTATAAATTGTAATAATAATAAATACCTCGACCATGGCTATTTATGAAAGACAAATAGCAAAATGTAGGCAATATTTGACAAAAAATTATTTTTAATAAATTTCTATTGTAACTATTACTGGTTTTTGAGGAACGGTGTGCAACTTTCTCTTATTAAGTGTTATGTCATTGTAATAAGTGTTCGTTTGATTTAGGTAGGAGCAAAAGGTGATTTAGGCTTACCCGGAGCAAAAGTAAGTTTATTTAAGTCAAAACTTAAAAACATTCTTATTAAGTGGAAAAATGTGATTTTATAAATGACTTCGTAAATTTGCTTTAGGGTAGTGTTGGTATGCAAGGTCCTAGAGGCGAGTCTGGAAAAACAGGCGAATCTGGGGAAGCAGGTGTGTTCGTTAAACATTGTTTTTTTTTAAATTTGTTATCAATCAAAAGTTTTTAATTATTAATAACTCACAAAATCTTAAATGAAACATATTTCATTTTCAAAACTATAATAGATACTTGTGAAATTAGGTATTCCTGGGATGCCTGGAAAAGATGGTTTGCCTGGAGAAAAAGGAAGTCCAGGTTCGTATTCATTTATTTTGTTATACATATCTTCATATAATAAGATATTTAAGATCTCCCTTGAAAAATATTTAAATGTTAAATTAATTAATGTTAAATAGCACGAGTATATAGAATTACTTTAACATATTATTTTTCTTATTACATAACACTAAATAATGAAATGTTATAGGAACTAGCGGACCTATCGGTCCATCCGGTTTTCCAGGTCCTCGAGGTCCTCCAGGTGAACCAGGAAGTGTTGGACCCCCTGGTATAAAAGGAACTGATGTAAGACAAATAAAATAAGTAAAATACTAACATCTAATAATATAATATAGTATTAGCATATTTGTTATACATAATTTTGATTTTATTATAAAAATTCAGTTCATATAAAAATATACATAAAGTTATAATATAAAACTATGTGTTTTATCAAAATTTAAGATATTTTCATTGCAGGGATTGAATGGCGAACGAGGCTATAAAGGCGAAGTAGGAATTAAGGGTGAAAGTGGTAAGATATTACACATTTATTTATCAAAAATTTGACATTTTAAAAAGTTGATAGAAACTAATTTTAATATTACCTATAACTATAGGAGTTCCAGGACCAAGAGGATTACCTGGCATGGACGGTCCAGAAGGCAAACGTGGGAGGAAAGGTAAATTATTAAGTATACTTTGGAAAAGTATTCCAGAATATTAAATTTGTATATAAATCACCGTTCTTTAGGATAAACCCCCTTACAAGTTAAATTTATAACAGTAAACATTTTTGAAATCGGTTTAGTAGACATCTTAACAAGTGAATTCGTGTTTTAGTCTTTATATTTTAAAGAAAATGTGTAAATGTCATAATGGAATTATTATTTGTAGAAATTGTTATTTAGTTTATAAAAAAATTGTATATACTTAAAGTGCATTTTTAAAATATTTATCCATTTAAAATAAATTAAATATATTATGTTATAGTTTTCTAATTTTAGGCTCTGAAGGACCTCGTGGACTCACTGGAATACAAGGGGAACGTGGTCTTCCAGGTATCGTAAATTATGTTATCATTAAGTATTAAGTATTTTAAATACGAGAGAAGTATTAATTGGCCAAATAAAAAAATATAAGATAATCATAAAAAAAATAAACAATATCAGCTTAACAATTATAAAAGTGAGGTATCAATGTTGCATACTAATTAACTTAAATATTAATACTATTAATTATAAAAAATACTTAAATATTACAAAAAAAGACTTTTTTTCTTAATAAAAATAATAAGTTTGTTCGGAAAATAAATAAAAACGGAAAAAAAAAAGAAATGAAATTTAGTTTTATTATTTTCGGATCTATCCATGTGTAATTTGTCAATAGAGAAACTCGAAGAGTAATAGCAGACACGGATAAATAAATACGAGAAAAATGTGTAATACATAAGAAAAGAAAAATTCACAGTAGCCAAACGTACAAAAAACAGCGGACATATAGTTAAAAGTGGACCCAGCAATGGCTTCGTAACATATTCAAATAATTAATGACAACATGGAAATACGGAAATTATCAATCTAATAGTTCAATCCATGAAAGTTTTTTTTGTTAACATTAAGGTCTTACATAATGAACTTAACTTTGAAAGGGAGATTAAAGAAAACCAATAATTCATACACATTTCTATTGAAGTATGTGCTATTGCTAACCATGGATTATATAATACTACGATATTTAAAATCTTAACCCGTGTATAAATCTTAGCCATACTGATCTACCTAAATAAAATATAAGATATTTAAAAATTAATATTATTTAGGTTAGAAAGTTGTTAAAAAAATAATTACTAAATAAATCTATAATTTAATTATGGATTATAATTTATTACTATAACTTAATTATAACTAATTTAATTATTCCATTTTATGTCACCATGTATACTTTATTTCATAGGAGAACGTGGGTTACCTGGCCCAGATGGAGTTCCTGGAAGCAAAGGTAACAAAATAATTACTCTTTAATAGGACTTATACATATAATTATATTATTTTCATGGAATAAAATTTCATATCTCTAGCTTAACTTCCTCGTTATTATTTTTTTTTGCATATGAATAACATGGGAAAATTTAATTTTTAATTAAAAAAATTCTAGCGTAAAACTAATCTAATATACATCTTTAAGAAAGCTATTTGAGCTGAAATATGATACATCAAATTCACATACTTAAAATTTCATGGTTGATATTGTTTTTATCAAGTTGAGCCCATTGAAACTAACAAAACGTGGTAAGAAATAGTTAAGTAATCATTAATAATTGCTAATACATATAATATTTTTATATTTGTATACTACTATATTAGTAGTATATATAGCATTTGAGAGGGATACAACCTTTATTAAAAGCGAACTGCTCGATATTTAGGCTGCCCAAATGACCCAGTAATATATCTATATTAGACAAAATTAGTTACAATAGTTGAATTGTTAAGTTTACAAAAACTACAATAATAATAATAATAATAATAATAATAATAATTTTATGAATAATAGTATTTATAGTAAACTATAGGACTTCACTTACCTAATTAATTAAATTATTATAATGTTGAATATTTGTTATATTTATTTATCGTTTTTTACTCTTAGGATCGCAAGGAGACCGAGGATCGGAAGGTCCACCAGGAGTAAAAGGTTTGTTCGTTGTAATCCTTCTTTTATAAGACGTTTGTAATATAATAAATACCTTTAATGTTTAGACAACCTTCAATAATAAACAGTATTTATTAACAATATTTGCATATAGAAAATTTAAGACATAATAAACATTGTATATTTTCATATAGGTGCTGTGGGTGATACTGGAAGACCAGGAATGCCAGGTAAAAACGGTTCTACCTTAATATAACTTGTTTTGTTTTTATTAAAACTCAACACTAAAACCTAAAATCTATACATAATCGCATAAAGTATTAAAATCATTTAAATAGGTCTTCAAGGGTTAAGTGGGCCAATTGGCAAACCAGGACCCCCCGGAAAAACCGGGCCTCCAGGGGAACGAGGTATACCTGGTGCTGATGGAAAGGTAATATCAAATTAAAATAATACAATTGTGAATAATGTACTATACCCAATACTATAGAAAAAACGCACATGGATACTACACATAGCTTTTTAAACAAATATCACGAGTTTTGTTATTAAAATTTATTGGACTTGCCTATATGTGTATAATTGATGTTTAGGCTGGCGAGCCCGGACCGCCAGGGTTACAAGGTTTACCGGGGCCCATTGGACCACCTGGCGATAAAGGCCTTACGGTGAGTAGCTTTCTTAAAGTAAATAAACGAAAATAAATATTATAAGTATACGTAAATCTTCTAATATAATTAGCATGTGTTTCATTATAAATATTAGTTTATTTATACATTGAATTATTTTTTTTACAGGGAGAACCAGGAACAGCCGGTGAAGTTGGGACACCTGGAGTTCAAGGTTTGTTCTTCTTTAATAGTACTTAAATCCGGTGTTGATATTTTTTTTGTGATCTATACATAAAAAATAGAATTTCTATGTTTTTGACATTTTCGAAGCTAAATGAAAAGGTGAAGATCAATAAAATTGATTGAAACCAAATATAATACGGAATAGCTTTGTAAACAGCTACGCCTGCATGTAGTTGATTGCCTATACAGAACGCCGGCTAATAAAATTACTATACATTTTGCAATTTTAGAATTCTTACTCTATATTCGTTTGTTTCACTGATTCTTCGTTTTCAGGTCCAAGAGGTGATTCTGGAAAGCAAGGACCACCTGGCAATCCCGGTTGGTACACTAAACCTTAAATAAATGTATTATATTTACTATATACGAAATAAAAATTGTATTTTTGTGTTTTGTATATAATTTTATTGAGCGGTTTATTAACTTAACAAATGTTGAGAATCTACATTTTTAGGCTTGTAGTAAAAATATCTTCTCAGTTTTGCATCTGAAGCTTAAAATACCAATATATAGTTACTTCAATATGTAAAAAGAGGAAAGTAAGTTGAAAACCCGCATGACGATTGGATAAGTGGTTGGTTCCAGAGCCAATTCGTGACAAAGATTCTCATTTCACGTTTATATATTATGTGTAAAGAAGATAAGAGAGGGACTTATTATACTATTTAAACATATTTATAGTGAATAGTATTTTATTACTTAACTATAAATATTTCATAAGTTTTGTTCAGGTTTTTTTCTATATTAACATATTCTAATAGTTAAATAATTAATTAAAAGACGCTATATTCTAAGAATTAATTTTTACAGGAATACCTGGTAAGCCTGGTTTGGATGGCGTAAGAGGAATGACTGGGTCTCCAGGATTAATAGGCTCACAAGTAGGTTTGAACTAACAGCAATTTAATTGTGATGACTGTCCAACAAACTTTACGTGTGTTACATTTTTTTTTCTTTTTAGGGTGTTCCTGGAGTTCCAGGAAATTCAGGACCTCCGGGGAAAGACGGCGAACCGGGTACTAACGAAATTCATTATCTTAATACAATAGTAGTAAAACTAAATTACTTTTTGGAATAGGTCAACAAGGTCCTACAGGAAAACCCGGTGAATCGGGGCCCCGAGGTGAACGTGGTTTCCCAGGTTAGTATTTAATTATACATTTTTATGACTTTTAATTGTTATTTAAACAAATCATTTTATATCGTAAAATTAGGAGAACGTGGTCCTATTGGACATCCAGGTTTACAAGGGTTTAAAGGAGAGCCTGGTACTGCTGGTCCAGATGGTCCGACAGTGAGTATTATTTAAAAAGCTTAAATATAAATCATGGTACTTGTATAGTATACAGTATTGGTATGAGTATTTAGCAGATTTGTATACAAAATGTGTAAAAAAATAGAGCTGCCAAATAAATCCATGTGGCATGTGACCTACAACAGTACAATGTGTTCATGTTCAAAAAAGAAATACGAATTTGTGACTACATTCATTAACTATTCACATAAAACTTGAATAGTAATCGATAAATAAAGAAATATTTTTTTTAATTTTAGGGGCCACAAGGAATCCGAGGTGATAAAGGTCATTCGGGATCTCCAGGGCTAGTAGTATGTACCTAAAAGTCGAAAAACCTTAAATTTTTTTAAATAGATTAATTAGAACTGTAATAATCTTTTATACTATATTATAATGCGTATTTAAGTAAAAAAGTTTTATGTATTTATGGTAATATATTAATGTACTATTTATGTATATAGGGTTTACCAGGATTAAGAGGTGAACATGGTCTCCCTGGCGCCAAAGGAGAACGAGGTACGTAAATCAAATTCTCTTAATAATGGGATTAAAATAGGTCTGTTTTTGGACATTTTAAACCAAAAAGCCTGAAAATATTTTGACTACTTATGATAGTCCGATTTCAACTTTTTGAAGAAAAAAAATTGTGTTTCAATACTGGACAGATTTCAAATTTAATTTATTAAATTTACACTATTTATATGCCTTGCGGTTACTCCCATTTCAAGATAGCCAAATGGGAGTAACCACAAGGCGTGTAAATAGTGTAAATATAATATACCCCATTCAAGTTTTAATATTTTTTTATTGTATTATCAGAAAACTGTTTTTTTTCAAATACAAATTGGTTTACATAACCTAGGGAAAGGCCAACTAATTCTTATATTTTTACAGTATTGAAATTTGACTAGCCTTTTTTTTTTACTACTAAAATGGCTTTTACTTATAGAAAAATGTGTTAACTTTGAAAATAAAACACATTAAGTTTGAAGCTCAAGAAGCTTCTAAAAATTAACTTGAGACTTAATTGACATAGTCAAAATGTGTTAAAATAACTATTTTCTATAAAATGTATAATGTTTTTAACATTTAAATATTGCCTTTATAAAACTCCTTAAAAACCACCCGCTTTCAATCCCCTTAGCGTAATATTAAGAGAATGTTAACAGTTGTTTTTTTTTATGTTCATAATGTTTTTAGGTAGCACCGGAGCTCAAGGTCCTTCTGGTTCACCAGGTAACAAATAACTTGAAAATATTTAAATTTACTATGAATTATATTTTTTAATTAAAGCTGCAATATAGACAATACTATTTTATTTATAAATTCTATATTATAATCAAAACTAATTATGTTTTTAAATAAACAATATTATAGGTTCACCAGGTGAACGAGGTCTACAAGGATTCGTTGGTCCGATGGGTCCACCGGGTGAACCGGCTGAAAGAGGAGAATCTGGATCAGCAGGCCCTCCAGGAGAACCAGGAGCCCCAGGTTTAGTTATTTTGCAATAATTTTTATGTGAATGAGACTTAGCGTTGGATTATCGTCATTTGGCTCCAAATGTTAAAAACATATTTCCCTAATTCGTTCTGACTTTTATTTAGTTCCTTGAGTCTCCCTGTTTACACATCATTATTTTAACTGTAGTACTAGGTACTAGAATAGTTATTAGCAAGGCGATTAGCATTTTTGTCAAATATTTATAGAAATAACTCACGAATTCAGTATTGAATATACGACAAATATATATTTGGTTTTGCATCAGATTACACGGGTGGTAAGCTATTTGGAACTTGGTAAAACTTTATATTTTGTCTGTATAATTATAAATTTGGCGTGAAAACTGGGAAACTAAGAATATGAAATACAAATTTAAAAAAATATCAGGGAAATATTTGTTTAACGTTTGGAGTTGATTGATTTACATATATATATTATTTAAATTATTTTTAAAATTTTATAGGGGCCCCTGGCGATAGAGGATTGATTGGACCTCAAGGTGTTCAAGGTTTCCCGGGTGCACCGGGACTAGTTGGTAATCTTTAGTCATACATATTTATTATTAATTCATATAAGTAAAACCATAATGTATCAAGTGTACAAATCTTTTTATGCACATAAATCCAGATTATATTTTGTATGCTTTCAGGCATGTCAGGCGCAAAAGGTGACCGAGGAGATGTGGGTTAGTACAAAATGTTATTAAGAACTATATGATAAGGAAGTAATCTATTATTGATGGACAAATATAAATTAGGAATGAAAGGAGAACAAGGAAATCCTGGGCATGCTGGAAAAATAGGAGAGCCTGGTCTTCCTGGTGCCGAGGGCATGGTGGGACCAAAAGGTATTTGCATAATTTTTGTCTATAGCTATAAGAATTTGTCATGTAACTAAGAACTTAAGTTTTATTTATATATATTTTTTAATTTACCAGGTAGTCGCGGTGATCAAGGTATTAAGGGAGATATGGGCTTATTCGGGGCGCCTGGAAGAAATGGAGAACGCGGTTCACCGGTAAAAATAAATATTTATTACTTATTATTTAATGATAATATTGGAATAACTTAAAGGTTGTTTACTCATTGTGAATTAAGGATATTATAATGATTATATATACATATTTTTTTTTAGGGTTATCCTGGACCAACCGGGCCTGCAGGACCACCTGGTTAGTGTTTAACAATATTATTCAAATATTTAATAGAGTTTTGTTTATTTAAATGTCCCATAGCTCAATAACTAAATTATTTTATTTAGGACTGATTGGACCTAAAGGATGGTCGGGTGAACCTGGAAAACAAGGTTTGCCGGGTGCTATAGGAGCACCAGGGTTACGAGGACCAGATGGTAAACATAATTGAGAAATAACCATGCTATTACATGATAAATACTCATTAACTGAATTTACTGAAACTATTATATTACTAACAAAAAATCAAATAATTATATTTGTTTATAGGACCTAAAGGTGAAACAGGAAATGACGGGGCAACAGGACCTCCTGGGCCAGCTGGACCCCAAGGGATAACCGGGGAGAGGTAAACGTTTTTCAACAATATATATTAAGCTTTGCTCTGATGACGAAATTTCTTTCAATCTACTTTATTAAATTATCAAAAATTGTATTTAGATATTAATTAATTTGCAAATTAAGAGGTAGACCGCGAGTGCGGTCAAATTTAAATAGGTAAATATTTCTATAAAACATAGTACAACTCAAGTAACTATATGACACACATTTCTAATTGAATTGTTGTATAGAATACTGCAATTCAGTATATATTCAATTAAGTGCTCTACAATTGGGTAAAAAATGTGTAAACCTTTAGACTTGTCACTATAAAAAAAACAACTAATTATAACAGTGAAAATTCGAAATGATTTGATGATTTTTGTTCGTCTCGAGAAGGTTTTTTTAATACAACATTGAGACCCCTCATAAAACAAATTTAAACCTTAAAAAAAATGATAAGCGATTATTATTACTTATTCGTACTATTTTATTTGAATTTAAATTTGTTTATACTTTAACGTATAAAACATATTATAAACATCTGTTAATTTACAGAGGTTTGCCAGGCGTTCCAGGTAGTCAAGGTCCAATGGGAATGCGAGGACTACAAGGAACTTCAGTAGGTTATGCTAAATCAAAATAAGAATTCAATTAAAATCGTAAAATATTTAAATTGTTTAGGGTGAAAAAGGTTCACCTGGCAAACCAGGATCAGATGGCTTACAGGTATATTTAAAAAATTATAAGATTCATAAGTTTTTATACAAATGTATTATTTTTGTTTTTGATTTCGATTTTAGGGTTTACAAGGGTTAGCTGGGCCTTCAGGTGCACCCGGACCTCAAGGTGAGCATATACATTTATATTATGGTTAAAACAAAATAATAGTTTAAGAAATGCAATGCAACAGTTAATACAATTATTAGATTTATACGTAATGCCATTTAGTTATCAGATTTTATTATTAACAGGTGAACGAGGTCAAGACGGAGCAGTAGGTTTAATAGGTACTCCAGGAATCGCTGGAAGGCCAGGAGATAAAGGTATGTTGAAATAAAGATTAGGATTTCTTGGTTAACAGTTAACACTTACATTAAGGATGTTTATAGTTGATAAGAAGTATAATGAAACAAGCAATTTTTAGAGGTGCTATTGATTTTTTTTGTATACATTTTGACTTTTGTAGGCAGAATTTTCAATCTGTTAGGTTGTATAATAATAATTGCTGCAATAGTTCTACTTTGTCGACAACACAAGTGATAAGTTAATTATGTGTTATTTTAATATTGCTCTCTGGTTATAAAACAAAATGGATAGATAAATAGATTAATTCAATAGTATATAAATATAGTGTAAAATATGCCGACATTTAAAAATTTAATTAATATAAAATATATATTACGGAAGACATTTCAGTATTATGAGAAATATAGTTGAGAATTATAAATGCTATGGAGTCATTAGTCAACCGAAAAAAAACTTCAAAAAACCGTACGTAAATAACATTACTTAAAGAGATGTGTTAAACTAATAATTTTTTTAAGATAAAATATCATAGTTAATTTTATTAAAACTGTTTCACTATATTTTATATTTTCTAATTAAAACTTATTATAACATAGTAAAATATGTTTGTACTAAATTCTAGGTCCACCAGGATCTCCCGGGAATTTAGGTAATCCCGGACCGCCTGGAATGATAGTAAGTTAACATTTGAACAAAACAATTAATTATTAACAATTGACATATTTGTTTATAACACGATATTACTAAAAAGAGACATTTTTCAATAGGGTCCACAAGGTTTACCTGGTCCAACAGGTAATGCAGGGGAACGAGGTTTACGAGGAGAAACCGGTCCTCAAGGTGTAGAAGGTCCTCCTGTAAGTTAATAATACTTTTCAATAAAATAGATATTATTTACTTATCACTGTTTATATTATTTAAATTATAGGGAGAACGAGGAAAATCAGGACCTCCTGGAATTCAGGGTCCCAAAGGAGATAGAGGCGATGTTGGAGCCGAAGGAATGAAAGGTGACATGTTTAACGTTACACAAAAATCATTTAATAATTGTTCTATATTTTTAATACAATTGTCCTGTATGCAACTTAGGTCATCGCGGGCTTATGGGCTTGCAAGGTCTGCCAGGAGCACCGGGGCCTGAAGGCCAGAAAGGTTAGATTTTTGAATTAAAACATTGTACTTGAAAGTCTTGTTAAATCGATATTATAAAACTGCAACTAGGATTAAAACATTAATTGTTACAAAAATTAAGTTATTACGTTGTACGATAGTGGGATATTAACCACAAAGGGTTTAACCTAAAAACTTTTAAATTATGAGCTCGTTTACAATTATTTATACACCGTATAAACAACAATATTATTACCTCAAAATAAGTTAGATTAAAATATATATATTTTAAGTTTTTTCTTAATAGCGGATGCTTAATTTTGAATTTTCAACCAGAAATTCAGGTAGTATTTTTTTCTTAAATTTTATAATTTTCGAAGTGCTTTATGTCACGGAATTGTTAGGACATACTGCGTATTGACGTATACACTAACAATTTTATCTTATTTTAGGAGATATAGGTTTACCTGGTTATCTAGGGCCTGCTGGTGATCAAGGACCTAAAGGTAATGTATTAAAAATAGTGTTCTACAATAGTTACAATATTATCGTAACATTTACCTACTTAAAACGTGTTTAATATTAGGTAGCAGAGGCGAAGATGGAAACCCGGGATTGCCTGGTTCAGTTGGACCCCCTGGTCCAAGAGGTACAGTATATTCATAAAAAATAGAGTGATATAATATAGAAGCTTAATTTTGTTATTTAAGGTTTAACGGGTGAACGGGGAACGGACGGATTACCGGGAGCTCCCGGAATGCCAGGTCTTCCAGGACCACCAGGTGAAGCATTGGCTTATGACATGGCCGCATTGACCACCCTTTTGACACAAGGTCACAGCAAGGTAATAAATAAACTTTATTTATTTATTTTTAACGTTAAGTATGTTTTCGAGGATATTTCTAGGGCGAAACTGGTAATTAATACATTAATTGTAACAAAAATTGATTAACTATGTACGATAGTGGTATACTACACCACAAATGATTTAATTTAGTAAATTATATTAAACTGTAATTTTAGCTGTAGATATCTTTCAGTGACTTAATTGGTTATTAAGAAAATTTTAATTAAAATACAAATTGAGTTTAAAACCTTCATTGCTATTCTTAAAAATTTTTCCCCTGAACAAATGTTTTGCAAAAAGCCTAATCTCGTAAATCTTAATATAATTTTAATCAAGTAGTTGGTAGGGTACTCAAGAATTAAACAAAAAATAAGAATTTCTATGCCTGTCTAAGAAATAGGTACTAGGTATTAAATACATATTAATAAGAACTATAATTTATTACTTATAGTCATGAAAGTTTTTTTTTAATTAATTTGAACTCCAAAATTATAATTTAGGGACCAAACGATGGACCCAATCAAGACCAACCTGGAGAAATGACAGAAGTCGAAAGACGTAAATTAATTTTAAGTGCGTACAAAAAATTAAAAACATCGTTTGAAAAGTTCAAAAAACCAAACGGCGATAAAGATTATCCTGCCAAGACATGCAAAGACCTATTCGTCGCTTACCCTGAACTTGAAAGTGGTATGAAATTAGTAATTAATTATTTTGTTTAATCACTCAAGTTATTAAAATTTATTTTAGACGTTATTTATAAGAAATCACATAACTTTTTCAGTTTTTCAATTTTGTTTTATTAGGTTAATTTTGTTCTTAGTTAAAGGTTGCACATTGGGTGTGTAAAAAAGTTATTACTCAATTGGAAGAAAATAATATATTTATTAACTAAAAAATATAATGTATTACTCCTAAAAATAAAACAGTAACAGCTTTCGACTCAAATGCCTTAAGCACTTGGTTTATTTAAAAATTATACAACTAATTTGTGTTCAATATAATATATAATATTTAATTATAAATTATTGTAATGAAAGATACTCTTCGAATTTTTAACAAGCTGCGTACCCGGCTTCGTCTAGGTCAATAAATACAATTACAACAAAGTACTTACAAATTATTAACTTAAACCTTTTTCGTGAAACACTATTAGTCAAAACCGGAAGAAAATCTTTTCAGTAGTTACTGAGAAAATCGTGCGCAGACGTGATAAAGGAATTGGTTTTATACTATTTATTTATTGTTCGGTATAATTTTTTTTTATTTTCTTCTCCGTATTTTTATAGATCTTTCTCTTCTTATGTAACCTTTTTTGATAATCTCATAATAAGTAAAATTAATTAGGATCCTTCCTTTATCTTTTCTACTTTTCCTTAATACCTACTCTCTACTTCTTCTTACTTCGTATGTACATACATTAAACAATTTTTTACAATGTTTTTTTTTTTATAATTAATAATCAAAAGTAAGAGTCAATAATTTCTGACAATTTGCTTTAAACATTAATTATCAACAACATTATTACACCTAGGGTTGCGTGGCACACAAAGACAAACAAAAGAAGTTTCATTTACGAGCTGTAAAAATTGAAAAATATTCGGTTATTTTAATCAATGTTCTGGCTATGATTAAGTCATTGTATATTAATATGAAACATTTATAATAGGAGAATATTGGGTTGATCCCAATGAAGGGGACATTCGTGATGCTGTATTAGTGCGATGCGATATGACTACTAAGAGTACTTGCGTTTTATCACAACCAGACCACGTGGGTCCAATCGATTTTGGGAATAGACAAGCCGAGGCTGAAGTTTGGCTATCCGAATTAGACAACATGAAGGTCGTACACAAGATACAACCAGCCTTAATTTAATTTGTTGCATAATTTATTTTATTTTTAGATTTCGTACAAAGCAGATAGTAACCAAATAGGGTTTCTACAATTGCTGTCAGTATCGGCTACACAGAATATTACGTATCATTGTAAAAATTCAGTTGGGTATTTTGATAGTGAAACTAAAACGTTTAAGAAAGGGTTGAAATTACTCGGATGGAACGACGCAGAAATTACGCCGAGAGGAAATCAAAAAATGAGATACATAGCAATCGAAGATCAGTGCAAGGTCAGTTGGTCGTCAATTGTTATATGACTTACTACAATTATAGACATAATTGTTTACGTTTTTTTGTTTAATTTTTAGACTAAAAAAGATAAATGGGGTAAAACTACAATATCTTACACAACTGATCGGCCGCACAGACTACCAATCATAGATATCGTTCTTAGAGATTTTAACCAAGTCGGACAGAGTTTCAGCATTCACTTAGGACCAGTGTGTTTTAAATAAAATATTATCTTTTTTATTTTTTATTGTGGCCATGTTTTTTATTAGCACAACAAATCTTATAAACACGATATTATAATTCTCAAAATAGATACAATATTAAAAGTACATTTAATTTATAATAAAAAAAGATAAAAAAAGTGAAATGGTACGGCTGTTAACAGTTTTAAAATTTGGTCATTAAAACAATATAAGCGTATACATGTATATTTAAACTAATATAACATCAAGGAATCATTTAATTTATAAGTTTGAATAAGTTCGGAATGTCCAGTTGTTTATTATAAGTGATAGGGAAAATATAATAAAACTTCTTAATAGTTGTTTTCTTCAAAACTTAAATAAATACGATTTGTTTTCACTAAGGCTTATTTAATAATTATACAACTTGATTGAAAACTAGTTTTTTTTTACATATACATTTTTTTCTTAATAAAAAGTATTTAAAAAAAATTAATCTAAATAAATGAGTATTTTTGAACAAATAACCTTAAGTAGGAAAATGTTGTTCATGCGTTATATAAATAATAGGAAGATAGTACATAATTATTAATTTAGGTCTATATAAATAAAATAATTTTCGGAAAAAAGTATTAGTTAAACAAAGGCAGATCATAGTAAAAAATGTTTGTTGTACTTATTGCAAATTGGCCAACCATTAATAAAATATATAAATAAATAATAAAACCACAACCTCAAGTACAATAATTAAAGGCAGTATTTCAGAAAAAGTGAGCACCATATAGGAATGTTTAATTTTGTGATAGTAGATTTTAATATAAACTTAATATAAATAATAAATACTGATTATTATATAATACAGTAATACTATTCTGCTAAATAAAAATTAAGTAGATACATAGAAAAACAATTTTAATGTTAAAAGCCATTTTTGTAATTCAATGAATTAAATTTAACAGTAAATTGACACTAAGAATAGAATTTCAAACCAGGAATTCAGTTAACTGCACCATTTATTCTGATACATTATAAAATATTAGTGCAACGTGCTAATACAAGAAAAAGGAACTAGTCAACAAATTTTAAATGATCTGCCCTTGTTCATGACCAACACTTCTAGATGTGATCTATACAATTTCCTTAAATTTTAAATTACTTTGGTTCGATTCGGCTATGTACATTAAAATGAATACATAAATCAATTTATTAGGTTCCTACCATGATGATACGAGTACCCGATTATAGTCGGACCGACATTATCAACTTTGGTTTAAGGTCGTCAAATTTATTTTGACATCTGAAAATATTAAGTATGATATCACAAGTTATAAATGATAACATACAAACAAGAAATAATAACGTACTATCACACTTTATGTTGTGGCTGGTGCCTCATTGGAAACGCATTACGACGATCTGATTGACCATGTGCAGGTGGTGCAGAAGCTAAATAAATACAAAAAACATTAGTGTAATTAGAATAATAAAAATAATAAACAATAGTGGGGACAGAGAGGTCACAGATTTTATTATAACTGAAAGTGAAAAAATCACTTAAATAAACGCTTTGATAATTACCTCTTGGAGCATAATAATGGCCTCTTCCCTCACCATATCCATGAGCTGGTACTCTGCTTGATCTATGCTGTGAAACGTATTGTTGAGGTTGGTGGCGCTATGAAAAAACAAACAACAACAAATATTAACACAATTACAAGTGAACAATTTTCTTTTTTTAATAAATCAGTTACCATTCGACGCAGTGTTGTAATTGGCCGTCTAAGAGTTTCACTAATTCTCCTTGCAGGAGGTTTCTTCGGATTCGATGAAGGTGTGTGCACCGCACAACATTTAATAAATATTCCCATTATGATAACAAATGCTACACCCAGTAACATACAAGCCCACCAATTTTCCTAAAAAATCAACAACCATAAATATAAACAACAATGAAGAATAATTATACAAAAAAACAATGATTTACGTTTTACAAGAAAGTTGTGATGTTGGCAATGTTGTATTGACATTAAACCAGAATATGAAATAGGAAATAGAAAAAGATTTGACAACATTTGAGGTGTGCTCATGTATATGTATGATGGGAGGAGTGGTTGGAGAGGAAAGGTCGATTATCCCGCACTTGTTTTTTTTATTATAAAATAATTCACTACTTACTAAGGCCCATTGTTGAAGGGTTTGTAATGTTTGCTTATTGAGAAGCATATTTTTTAATCGTGCTAATGGTCCCTCGGCATCTACTGCTCGACATTTATAAAATACATCACAATAACCCTAAAAAAAAACATACTTTAAAATATATTTATTTTAATTGTATAATTTACAATTGAACAGCTGAGCGAAAAAAGGATAAAATTCTAAAAAAAAAGGAAAAATAAACTGAGATAGCCATTTAGTAGCTGAAAGATATAGCAGGAATTATATATACATTAATTATATAGGATTTTTCTACTAAGCTGTTAAATTTAAGTTATCAAAAAAATTAAATCAAACCTGAAAGTTATCACAAGGCGATCCTGGTCTGAGACTAATACCTCCAGGAGGTAAATTGACTGCGGCAGCAAATTCACTAGTTGACCTGCAAGTCTGTGAATCTGTACCGTTCATACAAGCTAGTTCACATAACTTACGCTTGTCAATATTTGGTATTATTTGTGACGTCAAAAAACATTCATTCAATCCCCATTCCAGACAGATAGATCCAGTGCATTCTCCATTTATGCAAAGCTTTATTTCAAAATAGATATAAGTATTAAAAAATAAAAATAAATGTTCATATACAGTAAAAAGATACTAACTTGAGTTCCTTCATTACAACGTGTTTTGTTAGGTTTAGGAGGTGGTACAGGACATTCTGGTGTTGTACCATCACAAAAAGAATTCCAACTACAGTCACCTTCACCACGACACATGACTGATCGACTGGATGGTATAAATCGACAAGTATCAGCATAACAACATGGTCCCTGGGAGGGGCTAAAAAATAAAATGTTTAAACAAAAATACATTTATAAAAAAGAAAACTAAAAAACTTTTAGTTATGTTATAGCAAAATTAGATTATAAGAAAACTTCTATTTTAGAAAATACCTGCACTCAGTTTGAGCTCGACGAGCACATCCTTTGGCCGAGACATTACGAAATCTTTCTCGATCAGCAACTTGTCTAGGATAGCAACATTTATCATCGCATTCTTCATCGTCATACCCACAATCACACTCTTCACCATCTTCAACAATTTTGTTTCCACAAAATGCTCCTTCACTGGCTGTTATTAAAGAAAACAAATAGCAATAAAAATAATAATTAATAATAACTAATTTTTATATACCTTTAAAACAATTTCTTTTTTTGTTATCTTGTATAGCATCTAATACGCTACTGATGTTGGCTATACTACATGAAGAAAATTTGCTGTTATTTGGACGATCACCACTGGTAGCTGATGCAAACATGATATAATTACCATTCAGACCACCTGGTCGGCATTCCGATGGGTAGTCATGCTATAATTTGAACAGAAACAAATATTCTATAATTAAAAAAAAATTATTTACAGTAACAGTTTAGATAAGTAACATACAGGTGACCCAAAATTATGACCAATCTCATGGGCTAAAGTCAACTGAGAAACTTTAGGAGGTACTCTACTATTGTAATTAACAAATGTTATAATTCCAGTATTTAAACTACGCTTAGTTGATTGATATAAGCCTCCAACAGTCTCTGTATATGTCTTATATTTTTCACAAATTCCACCAGATGCACCTTTTCAAAAGTTGTTATGTTATTTATAAAACCAATAAAATAATTGTTTAGGCTACTTACCAGATGCACTTGCTACCCAAGCAAGACCCAGTGTACCTCCAGTAAAGTCTCTATACGTAAATACATATGCAAGACAAAAATCTTCATGATTTCCTAATGAGTGCAAATTTAGAAAGTTACTAACATCAATGTTTTCCATGCAAAATGGATTTGGTTCACCAGTCCATTTATGATCACAAGGTTCATCTTCATCAATCTAAACAGAAATATTCATACTATTTATAAAAAACTATAATTCATTATAATTATTTCTATTTGAAATTAAGTGTTTAAATAATTTTTACAATATTATTGAAATTTAAAAAAGTACTTTGATATCAATGATCACAGTAAAACTTATTTTACCAATATAACGGTCACATTTAGTATCCCGTTACCACTCGCCTCCAAATAGGTTTAAAAATAGGCTTTATTCATTATTGAAAGTTTTAGTCTTGTCTGTTAGTGAATAACATAAACAGAAAATTTTAAATAATTCAGTCATAAAATGCATTTACTTTGATTCTTTGAACTTCAAATTTAATGTTTCTATGTTCTATACGTCCATCAAACTTAGTATCTCTATATATATAATTAACAGCTGTGACATGGTGTGCTATTAATGATAAGATTTCTTCTCTTGTTTTTGTTTTATCATAACCAACCTAAAAAAATTAATAATACTGTCAGTAGTAGAAACCAAAAAACATAATTATTTAATTAGTATACTTGTTCTTTAATATGTTTCCACAATAAAGGATCAGTTTGAATAAATAATGAGCATGTGTTTCGTTCTTCCTTAGGTTTAGTTGCACGTTTTGTTCTGACAGGTCCCTGATGTCTTTCAGATGCTGCCTGGCGAGAATATTTGTAAGCTGGTCTTTCTTCATCTGATGGTTGAATATTCCATTGATCACCTGAGTATTGAATTTTTTCCATATTGTGCTTAACAAATTCAGTGACCCCACAACCACTAAAATGACCTACAAATAATAATAATAATAATAAATATTTAAGAACTTTAACAAAACAATTTATAAATTTTACTAGTAGAATTATGGTATGGATTTTCAACATTATTTTCTTTATAAATTATAGAATGAAAATCTGAATTATTTTTAAGGAGACCGTGTGGTTGCATGTATCGTCTAGATTTTTCTATATAATAGATCCCTTTTTTAGGCGATATTATTTTTCCTTCAAATACTCCATCAGTAATAGATCCAAACACAGCACTATTGGCTTCATCTAAAAAATATATATATATTATATAAAATGATATAGTACATTTTTGTTATAAATTTATTCAAAATTACAATTACAATTTAACTTAAAAGAAGAGCATTGAGCTTTTGATAAAGAAATACTTAGAGCTTTTTTGTAGGTCTGTGTTATATACAAATTTTAAACTTAATATAAAATTTAAATAACACTACATTTAAGTAGGTAATTAAATACAAGATACTATACAGTAGTTAACAATTAACAGCATTGTATTATATTATAAAAAAACAACAATCTATTTAGTAATAAGTAATAAGTATTACAACTGTTACAAAAACAAAATTGAATTATAAGTTAATATTGAAATTTTTTTCTTTCAAAAGTTAGATAAATATGGTTTAGTAAGTATAATGTGTTATTATTTTACAAATATACACTTTAGACAAAGGGATACTAGACATAAGTGTAACCAACTTTATCACACAAGAGGCAAACCTACAATTAATGTAGCCCGATTAAAATGTAAACAATCAAAATAAAAAATATGGAGACTTTGCCTATCATACTTATGAAATGTTCTCAGGTCTACATTACAAATGAAACAAATCTTTTAACTTAATTATCTGTGATTAGTAAAAAACTAATAATGGAATTTACAAAGTGTTTTACACAAGTAATAAGTGAATATAAAGCATTTTTTTATATTCATTAAGTTAATGTAAACTACTTAAGAATTTCAATATTAAGAAACTTTGTTTTATGGTAATCCAAATTATAGGAAAATAATCACACAGAAAGTTATAAGCAATATTTGCATTAATATAAATTGAATTAATTAAAGATGTATTTTTGATATTTTAAAGTATTAATATTATTTAGTCTAAACACTATACTAAATAAAACTCCTATTATTTCTCTTGTAGATAATTTTATAACTGATATGCAATGTATGTTATCTGAATAAAACTACAAGAAGTTTATTTTAAACATAATATTGTTACTATAAAAAATTGCAATATTAAAAGCAAGCCTACATTATAATTTTTAATGACCTGTATGTTTTAATGAGCATATGAATACAACTATTATTTAGTATACTGATTACATAAAGTAATTATAATTTAATGTCCAATATATGTATTATATTTAAAGTGAAAGATTATAAGGAATATTGTTTTTTTTTAATTACTGTTATTATTCTAATCTAGGATGTAATAGCAGAATAACAATATAATTTGTTTTTCAGATATTAAATGTATTTAGATTCAGTTATTATATCAGATATTGTAAACAATGAAAATTAACATGAATATAAACATGAGAGAGCTTTATAATTGAAGAATAGATTTCAAAAAGAAAATTTAAATATTAATGAGAAACGTTAAAGACTGATAATATCACTATATTTATTGTAATGCTTTTAAACAAAGGCAGACTAAAATTATATGCTTATCCAATTTGTATTAAGCTTTTAATTGTTTACTTTAAAAAAATATGAGTTAGTAAAAAAAACAAACGCGAAAAAAACTAACTTACCAATAATATGACCATGGTAGATATGTGAAGTGTCCGCATCATCTGGGTGTAATTGATTACCACTACTGTCCAATATCTCAATGGAGTTCGAAAATGTACTTAAATCACGACGCAGTCGAATTTGGAAATGATGACCATATGCCCTAAAAGCGACATGCACATTACTATCTGCACTAGTCACTGATCGCTTGGCCCTATTGTGGCTGGAAGCCAAGTGTTCAGAATCATATTCAACAGACTCGTAGTGGGCTACGTACGGATTGAGACGCTTGCCTAAAATTTAATTAACAATAAAAATTAACAACAGCTAATCAAAATGAGCACACTACATACCTTGAATATTGTTGATAATTATAAGGAGCGTAACAACCGTCGAGCAAAAGGTATACATACTACAAATGATATAAAAAAATTGATCACAGGCATAAAAATTTGGATAGGTATTTGTCACATTTAAAAACTAGTCAATAATTTATTAACAATTCACACTATTGGATTTTCTTTACCAGTAACAAAAAACGTCAATGAAAAAATTTTAACAAAATAATTTTCCGAATTTCCATTATGATAAATCTTTCGGAATCCGGAAAATATTCTTTTGTTTTTCATTTGAGGCTCGACTCAGACAGTGAGTAAAGCGATAGCAGTCAAATAAAGAAACAGATAATAAGCATACAGTGCCACCAATCTAATAGCTGTAATCAATTTTATTTTACCTAGAAAATTTGGTTCATACAAATTAAAAACTAAATTTTCTTAAAGATGCGGTTTTCATTTTTTTAACATTCATTACACTTGATTAATAATTATTATAAATTGATAATCTTTAATATTTTATGACAGCTCTTACAATTTTAAAACATTAACATTACATTTTTTTATCACCGGATACTTGTGGAAACACTGTACTATTTGATTATTATCCATTGGCCACATTGTCTATGGTGGCTGATGCAACATTTTTTAGTCACTACCAGTCATCACACCATAAATCCCTCATTTTCTTAGTGTTTTGGAATTCCAATTTTTAAAATTTTTCCTTATAAATATTTATTGTATAATTAGTTTTGTTTGTCAATCTTTGTGAAAATATATCAATAGTAAAATGACCGAAGAAGAAACTGTAAGTAAACTCTAAAATGTATAGTATTTTAGACGCATCTACTGGTTTTTTGCTTATAAAATATGTGATATCTATGTTAAATTTGTTAATCTAATTTAGATTGTTATTACCTACCTCATGAATAACTATCAATTTAAAGTAGAAAAGCAGAATATATTAAATATAATGAAATTTTGCCTGTCAAGCTATTTGATGTTTAACTGAGTATTTATTAATTTACAAAGTTTACTACATATATAGCTAAGTAATATGAGTTAGTAGTCTGAGATATCGTGCTGTAAGAATAAGCATTACTATAATATTTCTCGTGTTATTTTATATTATACCAAGTAACCCATTTAGATGATTGTCTAATGTATGACGACAGTGAAATTTTAGTAAAAATTATAGTATATTTAATTATATTCTTTTTTTAATACTTTAGCACTTAAACCATTGTTTTAAATATTTTTAATCCTTACTCCTAGTAAAATTAAAATTACAATATAATGCAACCAACATAAATCATAATTTACTAGGACACTAGTTTTAGACTTAATAGATACTATAGGAGAATTTATTGATTCTAGATGGGGTAAAATTCTTCCTCAAATTTCATTAACTTTGTCCAAATTATTAGGATATTAAATTCAAAATAACTTGTTATACCGACTGATATTGTTTCCTAGTTGTTTGACCCTTCTATCAAAAAGAAAAAAAAGAAGAAGAAGTTTGATCTTGATAGTGCTCTTGCAGCTGAAGGCAATGCTGATGGTAACAACGAACAAACTTTAGATAAAGAAAATCAAGACCCTATACCTGATCCTGATGAATTTGATGGTATATATATTATATTTTATCATTTTAACAATGATTATAATTGTTTCTTAATTATGAGTAGTCTAACAGATCTATTTCCTTAAAATTCCTAATTTTTTCTTCCTAGATTATACTTACCGGTGACAAAATAACAACCTGTCCCAGACAGCGAATCTGTCTAGAAACTATCGTCTTATGATGGCAGCGTAGGGCCTTGAAAGGCCCTTAAGCTAATAATAATGATGAGATTATACCTAACATATTATGTTACATATAATTATATACATTTTTACTTAATTATACATTATTTAATTTACATAGATGGGAATCTGGATCTTGATAATTTTGGGAAGAAGAAAAAAAAGAAAAAAAAGGTCACAATAAATTTAGATGATTTAGAGAACGCTCTACCCGATACTTCATCGGCAATGGAAAATGGCGATGGCCAAGGTGATGCTATGGATGTAAGTTTTAAAGATTTTAATGAATATTTGTATTTCATTGTAACTGTTAATATTTTCACTAATTTATTGGTTTTGGATGTATAGGATGACTTTGATTTAGATATGGACTTTTCAAAAACGAAAAAAAAGAAAAAGAAGAAGAAAGATATAGACGAGTTAGTTGCAGAAGAAATGGATAAGAAGGGTGACAAGTCTGATGATAGTAAGTTCAAAAGTTTACAAGTGACAAGTTTTACTTGTCTTATTTATTTACTTGTATTATTAACTTTTAGCGTTGATTTTAGAACATACAGATAACTGGTGCTATACACAAAAATGGCAACTGATTTTGTGTGATTCCCACTGGCAAAAGACCCTCTTCATAGTTTGTATTAGTTTCCTGGTCATTAGTAAACTATGATGGGGATACCTCCGTTGCCACCAGTAAAATTCGTCTCCGTTTTTGTGTATAGCACTGCCTATCTGCATATTCTTAAATCAATGCTTTTAGACATTCCTATTCATACATGTTGACTAGACTGCAAATATTTAAAGACGCTTGTCTCTTCTCTTTCTTAAGTCGTGTATTAAATTTTGCATGTTCAGTATTCGTTTGTAAAAATGAATTTCTGGTAAAGGAAACTGGACCATAAGTATAAGATAAAAGAAACAAAGTTTCTAAAATGTTAAAAGTCTAGTCATCATTAAATATCTGCACTTAATGTAAATAAAGTTTGTACAAAAACTAAGTCATAATCATTTATTGTTGGTATAGTTATACATTTTAATACAACACTAGTAAAATCATTTCTCTAAATTTCTATTTTAATTTACATGCTTTAATGATGGAAAATGGAATTATGAGACTGGTAAGGATGTAATGAGATTTGAGTAATAGTATTGACTGATAAAACATTATTTTTTATTAATACGACATACTTTGACACTACTGTGTAAATTGTTTTATATATTTCTAAAATTTCAAAACTTTGGAATACAACAAAAAAAGTAGCACGGTTTAAGAAACGCCTAGTTTTAATCCTAAAATGATTATTGTGTGGCATCCTCTACTCAATATATTATCAGAAAATAAAAAACTTTGTGTTAATATTCAAGATACCAATAAATTAGTTATTTTTCTCTTAATTTATATCAACAATTCATAATGTAAACCAATCAAATCCATTTGTGAAAATATTGTTAACTCTTAATAGCTTTTAAGATTGTCGTTTAACTCACTAAATACCATACAACAAGCAAAAGCTTTGACTTCTAAACGATGTTAATACTCTAATTATCATTACATTCCATTTTTTATTTTTATTTTTGCTTTATTGAGCAACGGTTCCCTAGAATTTTTTTTCAATATCTGGTTAGGAAAATATTTATTTTAACAAAAAAGTAGAACAACTTGACATTCTGTCCATGATTGTGTGTGTTTGTACAAATACTATGGCCTTTGAGAATGACTATGCAGATTACAATTTTTCTTAAAATTTAACCAGTATGTATTCGGTTTTCAAGGCTTAAAAATATTAGTACGTAATGGTGTTTTTTATTAATTAACCATCCCTACTTCTAATATGACAATCTTGATAGTTAAGTTCACACATAAGGTATTTTCTAATGTGGGTGAGCTAAATATGTACTGTTTTTTTTTTGCCACAAGTCACACTTGTAATTTCTAAGAATAATAATATGCTCTCATCACATGTTTGTATTTTGTCATTAAATTATATATTTTTATGCTTCATAATTATACTACCTAATTTTACAGATACTGATGGTGAAAGTCACACATGGTTTGGTTCTGATCGAGATTACACTTATGACGAACTATTAACTAGAGTATTTGAGATTATGCGCGAAAAAAATCCAGACATGGTTGCTGGTAAAAAACAAAAATTTGTCATGCGTCCCCCTCAAGTTGTTCGGATAGGTACCAAAAAAACATCATTTGCAAATTTTACAGAAATATGCAAAACGTTAGTATTTTTATTTTATTTTATGATTAATAAATATGGTACATTATTTTAACTAATATCTAAAATTTTTATAGGTTACATCGTCAGCCAAAACATTTATTAGATTTTTTGTTAGCCGAATTGGGTACCAGTGGTTCGGTTGATGGTAATAGTCAGTTGATAATTAAAGGCCGTTTTCAGCAAAAACAAATCGAAAATGTGTTAAGGAGATATATTAAAGAATATGTTACCTGCCATACCTGTCGTTCGCCTGATACAATATTACAGAAAGACACGCGTCTATTTTTCTTACAATGTGAAACTTGCGGTTCACGATGCTCTGTTGCCAGCATTAAATCTGGTTTCCAGGCAAGTTTACATGAATTATGTATATTAAGAACTTTAAAGTTAATCTGTAAACCCATTTTTTTTACAGGCTGTGACTGGAAAGCGTGCAGCTATCAGAGCGAAGACAGCATAAGTACTAAAAAATGTGTTCTCATATGTTTTATATTAGTTCAGAAAAATAAATATCACATTTTTACAGCTCTTAAAAATATTTTCTTTTTCTTCTTTCTATTAAATATATAATATAAAAAATACATAACCAAAATTCATTGATAATTATTATTATATTTTAATTTGATATTTAATAAATAAATTATTGAACTGTTTAAATGTTATTTATAAAAAAAAAAAAATTGTTCATTTAAATGTTAATGTATTTATTTACAATAAAGTAAACCCCTATTTAACCGTATAAATTTAACATTTGCATAAATGTTATTGACTGAATTATAAATATTAAAATTAGTTATTTTTAAGTCTGTACATAAAAATAGCTAACTTTTAGTATAAGTTACTCTTCTTGTGTTTGTCTTTTATTAAATTCCATATTAATTTTTTTTTGTATCTACACGCCCCAGTTTTTTTAAAAATTTATATAAAGATACACTAATTGCTTAAAAAAAAATACTTGATTTCATACATATTACAACTACATCATATACTGTGTTATGCTAGTTTGATTGTTCTTGCTAAAATTGTGTATCTTTACTTTTTTTTTATAAAATCTCATCGTAGAAGTATTCAATATAAGATATTTATAAAAACATTTACTACAAATTTATAACAGTATAATGTTATTATATATAGAATTGATAGTAATTTAGGAATAGACAAAACATTATTTGTTTTAACCTTGGTTTTAAAATTTTATTTTTATGATATTTCATTTTAAGATTTAAATTTGTGAAAGAAAACTTTTTTAATTCACTAAGTTGGTTATACTTAAAAGTTGTTACCAAATGTTAAATTTGTATTTTTTATTAGTTCATTAATAACCTATAAGTATAGATTGGAGTACAGTGATTGGAAAATGATAGATCTTTAGCTTCCAGACACTTAGGTACTCAAATTATTATGGGAAGATAATAATATCCATTATGTAATTTATTATGAATACGGCAATTAAGTAAATGTCGCTACCGTCGAAGTATTTGCATTTGGATTCGGAAGTACATTTCTGATTAGTTATAATTAAAGTCCGGATTTATATGTTTTTACATATTGTTACTGAGTATATGCAGTCTTATGAGGGTAAAAAATATGAACGATTCATTCATCACAGAGTTCACAGGAAAAAGTTTTTTTTGCATATTTGAGAATATTTTATGGTTTAGGGAATATTTAGGTTATTTAGCATATTTTGGAATATTTTGCAAATTGTGAGAAAATCATAATAATTTATTTTTATTTTAAAATTATTATAATTAATATTTTCATAAAAAAATACACACAGTGATAGTACTATTAAGTCGCCGCGTCGTGCCGTGCTGTTTACCAAATATGGTGGCTAACCTGCAATACTGCATCGTTTTCATGCTGATAAGAACAACAAAAATTTACAAAATGACCAATAACCTGGTGAAAAGGGTAACGTTATAAAAACCAAAGTGACTCAATTATGTGAAAAAAATAAAGGCTACTAAATGTTAGAAAAAGTTGGAAACATTTTATCTGGAAACAATAAAAATCTCCCAGAACATTTCACCCCTAGTGTAGTTGCTGATATGAATTTTGCTCCTTTAACATCAGTTGATGTTGAACGTTCATTTAGCCTCTACAAACACATTTTAAGCGATAGAAGAACTAACATGAGCCCAGAGAATATCGAGAAATACATAATTATTAACTCATATAATAAAATTTAAATAAGTAGTAAGTAATTTAAATTGTACTTCAGTTTAATTCAAGTCAGAATTAAATTTAGAAGAATATTTAGTAAATATTAATTTACTACCATAATCATCATATCAAAGGAATATTGTTTTTTTTTTTTTTTAATATATATTGTTATTTTATATTCAATAAAGGAAATATTGATTTTAATTCATTATTTTTGTTTATTTTTCTAATTTTTAAGAGAATATATGGAGAATATTTGTAGGTTTTTTAGAGAATATTAGAATCATATTTTAGGTGTTTTAAGAGAATATTTATCCGGACCTTAGTTATAATACTTAATAGTACAGAATAGTGTTGGTTACCTACACATAATTTTCATCGTATATATCACGTTATAATATAATAGTTTACTAGTGTTGAGGAAAAATGTATAGCTTATACTTGACTAACTTCTGTCCGACATGTCTATAATCGTTACCGGTAATTTTTCCTAAACCCATTTTCAGTTCTTAATGTTTTATTTTTGGAATACATGTTTCTCCTATAATCTTTCGTTCATTTTCTAAATTAATCGTGGTACACCAATGTTTTCTACTTTCTAAATTTCACATTGTTTCAAGGAATTCTACTAATGTTTCGTTCATTAAATTCATTTTTTCCCGCTTTGATATAGATAACGTTCCACGAGTCATTGAAAATGAAAATAAACTACTTCTTGACGGTTTTGTTAACTACTAAATTACTACTCGCAAAGGCCGCTGGTACTAGCAGGACTTATGAATATCGGAGCTACATATGTGCTAAATGTTTTTGCGGGGCTTATTGGCTATTCAGTAGAAGTGTGTTTAGGCATAACTCTGGAGCTTTAATAACAGTGCGATTTTATGCCTATCAATAAAACTGGAAGACTAGATAAATATGAAAACAATACGTTCTAGCCGGAAACACTATGATTAGGGAGGCACTTGCACTCTGCAGTTACTTAACATATTTTTTTAGTGATACAAGTCTAATAAAATTAAATAATAGGTGATTCTTAACTTATTTATATTACAAAAGTTAGGTTTTACAATTTTGATCTTGTTAATTTATATTGATAGAAAACATTATTTCAAGGTACGTATAAATAAATGTTGAGCTTTAAGTCATTATAACGAATTAAAAAACGGAGAAAAACTACAAATGTAATATACTATATTTTAAAGATACATATGTCAACTTTCAGAATCTTTTTTTTAAATTTAAAAGTTTTGAAGTTATGACGATTTTAATGAAAAATGTGTTAGTTAAATGGGTAAAATACAGCTCTACAGGAGACAATAAGGTCTAAGGGGCAAAATGTAGGCAATGATAAAACTGTAAATAAATATTAAGTTTTTCTAGTTACAAAACTATGGTAAGTTACTATAATTAATTATTGGCGTATCAGTTAAACACATTAAATTTTATGGAGGTTAGAAGGCTGATTTTTTTACTTAGTTATTTGATAATTAGTTAGATTTATGACCAAGTTAAAATGTGAACGCTTGTAAGACAATATTAAAAATCGGTCCCCTAGTCCTATAAAAAATGTTTTAATTCGATTCGGTAGGCTGTACCTTGGATTTTAGTAAGTGAATTCGCGTATTTATAGAATTTGGCTTTTATCGTTCCCCATGCGTGTATAGTAGATTTACTAATTTCAGTATTCATTTTTACCATTATTTAAAGGTTTAATACATTAAAAATCAAAAGGTTACCAAGTGTTCTGAATTTTAAGCATAGACATATCATACATCTATAAAGTTTGTGTTGTCGTGATCTCAACGTTTTAATTACCAATTACCAAATCAAAAGAGCATTGTGTGTGGGAATTGTAAATAAATATAGGATGTAGGATTATAGGATTTAAATTGACCCCAATTTGAAAAAAAATATTTACATAGGTGATTTCAAAGTTTGATACACGGACTCTACCTATAGAGAATAAAAGGTGGTAGTTATCTGCCAACAAGCTTACACATACGGTTTTGGTAAACATTTTATTTTTATTTTGTTGTTATTTTTTCACGAAGCAGTATTTTAGCCTTCTTTTATGCTTTTGGTGGTATTGTTGTACGTAGGTAATATCATATTTTGATTTAAAAAAACGTACTTAGTTTGTCGTTTACGCATATGGCTTTATTTGTTTATTCAGAAGACAATTGTTAACTATACCTATATTTTCTTCTAAATTATTACGTTTTAGTAAAATAATTTTGCTATAGGCTTTAAAGTTCAAGGTATACTTTTTTCTTAAAAACTATTGAATTATTATATTAATATTCAATACATATTATATAGAAAAATTATGACATTATGTAACATTATACTCGTACATTGAGTAAACGGTTAATTGTAAACTGTACCAAATACGGACAAATTAAATTAACTATTTTAACTTTAAACTCAATATAAATGTATACTATTGTCATGTTTTACAACATAGTTGAGTCTCGTATCTTTTTTTTCTTCATCTCAACTATTTGGGGTTCGGCCACTCCTTGTCCTAAACCTCCACTCGATACGATCTCCTACATACACCAGCAGTTCTCGTATAATTCTCAAACACATCCAACCACCATTTGTCTTCCTTTTCCCTTCTTTCCTCCTATGTTTATTTCCATTACCATTTTTACTACTTCCGGTTCATTTCTCCTTATAACATGCCCAAACCATCTCAGTCTATTCCTCTCATTTTGTACGCTTTTCAAGTCACGCCACTGCTATCTCTTAGTTAGGTATTCGTTCTTTATCAACCTTTTTTTTCTCGACAATCCACTTATCCACTATATTTGTTTTTATTAAGCATTGCCGTCTCCACTGCACTCATTGTCTCTTCTATTTTCCTATCTACCGCCCAACACTCCGAACCAACCAACATTGTCGGTCTCATCACAGTTCACACTCTTGTAGAACTTACCTTTAAGCCAAATTGGATTTAAGCCAGCTTCTATCCACTTAATCCGCACTATATCCTATGTTTCACATCATCATTCATCAAAGCCACCGTTCTTTTGTACAAAAGATATAAAGACTTAAACCTCGCTTACTATAGTCTTCGCTTATTGGCTTTACTCGTCTTGTCTCGTCAACTTATTGTCCTCTTCCTCCAAATTAATATTTATTATATTATATTTTGTTTTACTTCTACTTCTACTAATACTTGTTCCCTTTCCTTCAAGTACTACTCGCCACTCCTTAAGCCTATTGCTAAACTACTTCCATATTTTCCGATACCAAAACTATATCATCTGGGTCCCGTATCAAATGATCAAAATGTATAATAATATTAATAGTTGTCGAATTTTCTTGAATATTGGGATTTATAAATACAAAATTCAATAGTATCTTAATCATACTATTTACGGGCCCCTCTTTTTCCAATATAATTAGGTATGCCGTATGGGTCAAGATTTGGATAAACCATAACTGTCTTAATATTCAATTTCAATAACAGCTATGGTACCACTAAAAGTTATATACAATTACTAATTATACAGTCGTATTATAATCTACATATTTATTTAAAAATGCAAAACTGCCGAACCGCCTCAAATATATTTAAAATCTTGTTTTACTATTATATTATTATATTTCTTATTATTTACTGTTATAATATAATACTTTTAACTATTCAATTAGTAATATTAACTGTTATTTAATTACGTTTAAAAAAATTCGATTTAAATCTCGAACTAAACGTTTATCAATTTTAATAATCTCCTAACATGTTTAAAATTTTATACCATCACACTTTTGAAAATACATGTATAGGTACTTTTATTTTTTTCTTTCCATGTTTATTCAACTGTATTTGTATAGCGCTGTAGCATTACGATGATTACCAAATGTAGGCGTAGACTGTATATGAACAAAAGTATAGCGTTATTCGAACACTGAAAAACTGTTATCCGTACTGTTGATAAAATTGTTAGAAATATAGATGTATAGCACAAGTTAAAAATGTATTATTATTAATTGATCTGATGTAGATATTATCTAGAGGCGTTACAATAGGATATTTTTAACAATAACTACAAACAATTGTTGTATTCTCTAAACGATAACCTAATCGTTGTATAGGTGGGTCAAGAGAGGATAATATACGATTAGGTGTTTTGTGTGATATGAACGGATAAAAGAAGTAAAAAAAAAATGTTGACTATTGAAGTTCTATGTTTTTCACACTTCGAGTTATTTGCCCACATGTACGGGTACATAAATATTTAATGTATATGAAACGTACAAAACAAAGTATTAAATACTTCAAAAAATAGTATAATTTTGGTTAAAAATTAAGACCAATTAAGTCAAATTTATACATTGGTGCACTTAATATTTGAGAGGAACATAGATTTGTTTATTGCGGAGTAATTATTTAATGTTTAAACAATAAATAATATTTAATAGACTGAATTTAGCGTTTAAAAAAAAGACAGCGAAAATGTAAATTTCTGTGCATGATAAGCAAAATATATAAGTTTTCATTTATACCGTAAAGCGTTTAAGTAGATTTTATTACTCTACAAGTATCAAATATACATTTAAGGACCGCATGACTAATTAAAACGATAGGCATTATAAAGCATAAGCAATAGGCTAATTGCTACTCGCCTACTGAGTATCGTGATCGATGAAGCATAAACATAATAAACTATTTTCTATTTCTCGAATTGTCGGTGGGGAAACATGGGAACTTACATATTGACTTTACCCTACTGGGAAAACATCAAACGCGAATGGGGCACTTGCTCCCCCCATACCCTGCCAATCACCGACCACATAACAATAGTAATTGGTCACATGGCTCTAAAAAAAGTAAAAATAAAATATATCTGACATACTTTAATTACAGTTATTAATCTATTACTTACAAATACATCTTAATATTAAATGCCTATGACATTTTAACATAGTATTTAAAACATTTTTTTAACACGTTCACTGTCCGATGACCCCTATGAGGTTCATGATTTATTTATAAATAAGTCCCTAATTAGTTAATTAATTGATGAAAAGACTCTATCATCTCACCTGTCCAACTGTGTTATTATGAATTTCATAGAATATAGTCCATCCAAATAAATCTCCAGAGAAATAAATATGGATCATAGGACTGATAACTTTTGATTTAATTTAACATTAGGACAGTGAACGTGTTAAAAGAGAAAATATAAATTGATTGTGTTCATGGTGTTAAGTTTTAGATTCATCTTTATAGAAATATTCCGAAAATTGAAAAGGGAATATTGCCAAGAGCATACCAGTGAATTTATTCGGCCCTATCAGGGCATTGTAATTGTATTCGTTTATATAAATAGGATAACCGATATGTAATTTGCATCAGAAAGAAATTATATAGTATGTACTATTTTGGATAACATCTAGACATAACCAAAGTTTTCAAAGGTAAGTTGTTTGAAATTTTATTACAATTTATTATTGTACAATAGTATTGACTATTTTCATATTATAATTTTCAACAAAAAAATAACCAATTTGAATTTTGCTCTGAATGACGTGCTTGAAAATGAATAATACTTTTGCTAATTATTTACTTTTTTCCATTTTATCAAGAACCCTAGAAGAGGTGGAACCTTTTCTTTATTTCAATTTGTTGGGCGTAATTTTAGGACTTTAAGTCTGATAATTATACTAAGATAGACCTAGAGTAGGGTCTATAAATTGTAACATACAATTTTCTCAAAAATCAGTTGTCAAGCTTCTATTTTTATTAAAGAAAACCCCCGCAGAAAAAAGGAAAAAAAATCATCCTCGCGGAGTATTAAATTTACAAGTTGTTATGATAAATCAAAAGGTATCTAAAATATTTTATCATTATATTGTTAACATATACGAGCAACAACAGGATAAAAGTACTATAGAAAGACAATCCCTAATTGTATCTACCCAATTAATAAAAATAAAATTTTAAGCACATATCTGATTTTACAATACTTTTTCAATAACTAAATCATATGGAAAATTTTATATTTCAAATATTAAGGTATAGGAAACTTACAACTTGTATCCCACATATTATTATAAAACGCAACGTCTCTCTAGTCTAGTGAATGCGCATAAAACTCTTGTATCACTAATCCGATTTACATGTTTGTTTTGAGTTTATAAAATGTTCTCTATACTTTGTTTACGCGAATAAATTGTTTTAAAAATATTTAAAAAAAAATATATATATATGTACAAAAAGTGCGTAATTGAAGTGTAGCCCCTATAATTGGGGGGTCATAGGCACGTTCTGTATTGCCTAATGGGAAATATGGCCTTGATTCCTGAATGTACGAACATTTTTAAGGATGTTATTGTTTAAAACAAATTAATGCATTATCATTACTTTTTAAAAGATGATATGATAATTTGAAACAATAATTGTTTGCACAAATAATTTTTTATTTCTTCACAACTATCGCGATGACGCATAATATAGTTCACATAATTATGTGTAAGGTTTTAATTATTGACGTATGGAAATAATAAAATATACATAAATTGAACTACTCATATTAATTTTAATAAGATTAAATTAAAGATAGGACTTGAAAGCGTAAAGAGTGTTGTTGATACAACATAATTTTTATGGGTTCACATATTTCGACGTCGATAACTTTTCAGAAATTACTTTGATAGCCACGTTAACAATTGTGTTATTATAATCGCGTCTAAACGTATGCGTTTTATTTGAAAAACAACGTAGCAATCAAATGATAACCACAATAAACATGAACCATGACTGTGTATTTGTGTTTAGCTTTGGAGATTATTTCCTAATGATGCTGTTTTCGGTGTACGCTGAACATAATAATACAATATTGGTAAACAAGCCGCCGCGATCTTGTTTATATTTTTTTTTTTTACAAAAGCTGTTATGAAACTTATAATTATTACTACCCCGTTCGAGTAATACGTTTATACTATTATTGTACTTAAATGTTGTAATATTATGAACTATAGTAATATTGATCATTGCGATTTGCGTGTCTTGGGGCTGGGGACGTGATGTTTTTCAACAATAAATATCATTTAAGTATACGCATGTATGATGTGCTCTCAGTGTAGACGTAGTACGGATACTATACTGTATCGTGTGACTTAAAATTAAATTTACATAATTTAATAGTGGTGGCGGTGATGGTGGTGGGGGGGGGGGACATTTTCGATTTTAGTGGGTATAAACGCCTGGGAAAAAATGTATAAACAAATTGTCCCATGCTGGTGTGGCCGCCAGATATCGCGGCGTCTGCACAGTATACATAACCCCCCACCGGCCGGCTGGCGCAATTTCAGAGAGTCGTACCCGCTCCGTACCTGGTTTTCGTATCTCGCAGACGCCGGTTTTCAAAGCACGTACACAGCACTTACAAGCCATACGGAAGAGCCATAATATATATATATATATATATATATAGAGAGAGAGAGAGAGCATTACCGTTTCGAATCAAAAACCGTTTGCCACTACAGTCGCCAGTATTGTTTGTGTTGGTCAACCTACGATAACGGTTAAGGGTTGTTAGCCAATAATAATTGTTTCTATCCACTTTCCAGATCATCAAAGTTACATACACACACACGCAAAAAGCAAAACATGGATCACCGAGTGAAAATCACGATTTTTTTTTTGGTGCTAAGCGTTTTCGCCCAGTACTCGCAATGTGCAGAACCCAGCAGCGTGACGGACGTGAGTAAAAATACATGGTTACTATTTTATGAAAAAAATTTGAAATTGTATTATTATTTTGATTTTATGAACAAAATTATTATACCTAAGCGAATAACATTATCCGTTGTATAAGATAGTTATAAGCACCTAAGTCCTCTATATCATTTTTATTTAGGTATTACCTACGTGTATATAGGTGTATTAAAAAAAAAATACTAATTAAGTATAGACAATATTCGGCAATTATTCATACATTGTTATTATTTACTCTTAGAGATAATTTGAACAATGCAATATTACACATTTAATTAAATATTTTACTGAATGTAGTTTTAATAATAGTTAAAGTTGTTTTTCTGTAACAACACTTTTACGCCATAGTCCATTAGTCAATACATTTGCACAAATTTGATAATTAACATTTGTAATTTATATTTCTCTCTTTGAAAAAAGGATAACTTCTACAAGGCCCGTCGATTTGTTAAATTTATTATTAGCTATGATATTTAGACTAATGATCATAGTTTAATATACCGCATAACAAAATTCTTTTACAGAATTGCATTGTAATCGAAAATCAAAAATCAATACGTCCTTCAAATTTTATACATTTTCAATTGCATAAGAAAAAAAATAAAATTGTTCAATTTCCGAAAATATACTACACTAAGTATTATTAAACATAAAAGAATATAAACACGCACATACAAAATGTTTACAGTCGGGCCCCGTATAAGAAAAAGCTATAAATATAAAAATAACATTAGCAAAAAAAAAAAATTGAATTTATGAAATATTAATTATTGAATACATTAGCAAATGTCAAATAGTTTAATGTAATTTCAACATCAAAGTCGCTAAGTGTTTTTAATTGTATACTACATACCACTTAAAAGAACTACTTTATTTCTTAACTTCTTTTTAACAAAAAATAATTCATTTAGGTCAAATATATACTTTAAACTTTTGAAAGTACGTGGATACGATTATACGGTATACAAACTTCGATAGACGATTGTCAGGCATTTCCATCGATAAATATATTTAAGTACTTACGGTATTATAATTGCTGTTGTGTCTTATTTTTAGTGACATGCTGGGGAATATTAAAAGCTTTCCCTATATGCATCTATTTTTTGTTATGCTCAAGAAACGTAATAATATTTTATTGTTATGAGCGATTAAATATCAAATAGAGATTAAAATCTATTTTTTAGCTTTTACAATCGATTGCAATTTACTTAAGGCTGGATTTTAGTCTGATATGAGGCGGTGCGAACCGTTTTCAATTTTTATGAACTTAACGTAAACTGTCAATTGTTTTTTCTCATAGTATTTTTAGTACATCTTTTGGCTTTTTGAACGTTTATAAATAGTGGTAACTGGTATAAAACCATCTTATGAAATATCATATAATTTTTTTTAAAATACATGTATATTTTAAAATATAGTATTGTTTGATTTGTTTATATAAAATTGGTAAGCTCATCTTTACCTTTAGGGCACGTGGGGCACAAGCCCAGGGCCCCCTGTCTGATGCGGCCCCCGAATAATACAATTTACATCTTTCCGTTTTGGTTTTCTTAAAGGGCACCCAAACCCTGTGTGCCCAAGCCCCAAGGGCCCCTTTATAGCCTAAGTTAAGACGGTCCTAGATAAGCTGATCAAATTTGAATCGACACTTTATAATTGCTGTTAAACCAATTTATAATTTATTAGTTATACTTAATAATACGTTTCACGACATTAGTAAACTTACATGGTAATATAATATGAGAATGTAGAAACTGTTAATACTTTATAGAATATAGAGACTTTTATAATTAGATACTGAAATTTTAAATCATATTTACAGTAGATAGAAAAAGGGATTAAACATTTTCTGAAATCAGTTTTATAACGACTGTTATTGTTTATAAAGTTACTTGTAATAACAACATGAGAAATGATAAACTAAATAATTACATTCACGATGTCCGATGTTCTGCGTTAACAAATAATAACAAATAAAAAAAAAATTATTTTACATAATTTTATATTATTATTTTAATTTTCGAATTTTGCTGTTTCATTTTCAACCAATTGATTTGTTTATTAATTATTACAGGAAATATTACAATTATTATACTTGACTCGTTCGATAAAGATGTAGTTTACCAAAAATCATAGGCGCAAATACGGGGGAGGCTAGGGTGGGCTTAGCCCCCCCCCCCAATGCTAGACATAGCCCCACCAAAAAAATTGGGTTATGCATACAATTTTGAAATACAAAAATATATTTACTTAAATATATATTTTAAGCAAATTTCCAGCCCCCTGAGTTAAAAATTGAAATTGCGCCTATGCCAAAAATATTACTCAATCAAGAAAACAAATAACAAAATATCAACTAGTATTATTATTAGTATTGACTATTATAGTATAGTTATAAATTATAATTCTAGTAAATCAGTATAATGCTTTTCTGTTTAAAATCTATACAAAAGCAATCATTTTATTTAAATTATGTCATAGTTGGTTGGTGTTCAAACTTTAAGTAACATTTTGTAACTAATATTTAAAAAAACAGTTTTAAAAATAAGTTGCGAGATTTAAAAAAAAGATATAATATATATCCAAAGTTATTTTTATTTTTAGTTATAGTTCATTCGTAAAACTATGAACAGATAATCAATTATTACAACAGAATATTTCATGTTTACATTATGATCATTGATCTGAATTATAGTTTAATTAATTAGGTATTTTATTATTATTTTGTTTTACTTAGTTTTATTTGACGCGTAGCAATATTAATTTTGTTATGTGGTAATAAAAATATGTTATGAAGCCTTTGAAAGAAAAAAAGAATCATAAGATTCCCATAGTACCTATTTAAAAGCCACTTCAAACGATTTTCAATTATTATAATTATTTTTATAGTATTTAAAATTTTTTATCTACTAGTTTTGACATAGTTTTGTGTAGATTTTAACGTTAACATGAATACCCTAGATATTTTAACAGTATTCATTTGTCAGCTAGGTACTATGTAGTTTAAAAACTAGGCTTGTGGCATCGATGATTCATTGATAATGCAAACAACAATATCATAGCTGTAAAACAAAAACCCACCTGTTTATACATTATATTCGTGTTGTTTTTAAATGAATTTGAACACAAAAACAAAAAAAATTTCAGAAGTTGTGCTAAGAAGTCTAAAAAATATTGTTTTTACAAAATTATTTATTAACTACAATACCTAGAAATATTTTTTTTTGCGATAAATTGATGTTATGCTTGGGTGTATAATTGATATTTTGTTTTAGGTAACACTACATTTGCTACCCTCGTATAAAAATGAATTGTTTTTGAAACTGTTTTCACATACAAATTCAATGTTATCGTTAATGCATATTCTTAATAAAACTATTTTTTTTTATTTCACGCTCTACTACTATTACTACTATTACTAACTACTTCACACTCTGCTGTTACTGTAATTGTAATTTAACAAACAACACGCAACTGATAACGGCGTTCAGATGTGTTTAGATTTGTGATGTTCTTCGCGTAGTTCGCTCATAAATAAAACGATATTCGTTCAACCTAGACGCATGGCTTATAGGATCTTAGTACACTTAAGTACCAACTTGTAAAATAGCTGTTATATAATATTATGTAATATAAATCGTATGTTAAGTAGGAACATGGAAGTTTTGCTAAACATTTTAACCGTGGTACCTAATCTTTATTGCTGTATGAAATGCGTTTGTTTGCCGGTCGTTGTGTGTATGATTTTTAACAACCGATATTGTTTTACATGAAGTACAATCATTTTTCGTTAACGAGAGTCTAGACTGTCCAAAATACGACGCTATATGCGAAAGAATTTTGGTATAAAATTCGTATTGTAATCGTTTCCTCATTTCCACTGTTAGAAAACCAGTCTATGTTGTGTACCTAATATATGTTTTTTTGTCAGCCTAAAATACATAGTTTTACACGGCAGACAACAATTAATATTCTTTCGTGAGAAACTATAGGCACACAACGCGGGGTTGGCCAATGGGATATTTTAAATAACGCAAATGTACAGGTGTTAAAGAACAGCAGTTGGCTGTCATACTTATAATTAATACTTGGCAAAATAATCGCTGTGCATTACGCATTCAAACAGTAGGTAGCAACTATAACATCCTACATGTATACAGCTCTGTGTTTTTCTGTTTTTTTCACTCCATTTGGCGTTTTACCAAAACGGTTAATTTATTAACTTTTAAATACCTAATGTTTTATTTTTTAATTGTTTTTTAACATTTATCTTTATCAAAATGAATCTACTTTTATAATTATAGAATTAAAGTGCATAATCCAAGTTCTAAAAATTCTCAATTAAAAAAAAAAATTATATAATATATATTATGTACACATTATGAGTTTTAAAACTTTAACTCAACGATTGCAAAACTCTTTCTAGCTCGTAAACGATATTTTTGTTTTCAACTAACTGCAAGCTTTAAAGCAGCTGACAGCTGTTGTACTTTTTTGTATAGTAATTTTTCTTTATATTTCCCTTAGCAACTTTCCATCATTTTATTTGGCAATATATACCATTTGATTATAACAATAACGTTCGACCAAATATGTCAAAGGTTTAAGGTCATGTAGGACATACTGACCTAATGACCTCTTACTTTATATATGTATGGATATTATGTTATAAATAAAAAAATTAATTTTAACGGTTATACAATCTAAATCGATAATTTTTGTCACCTGTCAGTTTTAGGGACTGTGGGAATCCATAATAACATATATAAAGTACCTATAAACGATAACAAAAGGTAGCGAACAAACATTAAATTATTTTTCTACTTGGTTTTTCTGTTAGAATGCCAAGGGGTTTGTCGGTCAGCAATAAAAATAATTAAATACAAATGTTCGAGCACTAAACATTATTATCTAAATTTGTGTTCCAAGAAATTTAATATATGCTAAAGTTATTCAAATTTATAATCGAAATGTCGATAAGGTCT